CTGTTACACGCGATGCATTTTATGTCCTGTCGCCTCATCGGTTTCCGAAACAGTTTCGCAAAACTTGACGATCCAAGAACCACACTGCGTAGACACATTGCCACCGCGTTTTTTTACGTGGTGTTACTTCCGGGCCACTTTCGGGCCGCTTGACGTCACTCGTCGCGGTTTGACCTCGACCTCGGCGATGGGGGGGGGGGGAGAGCAGATAAGCACTCAGGGAGACCGAGATGTGCGTGCTTCTGCTCTAGACGACAGGAGCCCATACACAAAACCAATGCATTCCCGAGCCAACACGTTTTCGCCTTTCATACAGAAATATGGAAAGTTAAGATAAATAAGTAGATGCATGATAGATAAGATGGAATGTGGACATACAAGGCAGGTCGATGAGGAGACACATTAGGATCTTCTTAAAAAGCGACAGACACAGGATTTTTTATGCATTCATTTTTCTTGCGATCCTCCCGAGTAAAAAAGCTTAAGCGACTTTGTGCCGTGCTTTTCATTAAAAATGCTCCACATTCATACCACTGCAAGGCGTGAGGATGGGGATGACCTCAGCGAAATGCACGTGAGCCATTCTATCGTTTATTTTCGTAAATGTCTAGGGTGCCGAGGGAAAATGTTATATCATAAGAAGCAAAGTGAGCACGCTCCTTGCCTGAAATCAGCCTAAAACGATACCAGCTCCGTCGGACAGTTTGCGGTAGATTTTTCGAAATAGATTAGATTTTTCGAAATAAAAAAAATGTCTGGCCGAGATCTGTTTGCTGCTTAGAAGTGTTTGTGATTGCAAACGTACCTTCCTGTTTCTGGAAGCTTTTATGACAGCAAGATGCTCCCTCACGCCCAATCGAGATGGCTATCGATGTTGCCCGAATGCCGCCCGGGAATAATGGCGGTAGAAGAAGCTGATGAAGATGTGCTTTCTGCGTCATCGACGCCCGTTGATTCGTCGCTTAAAAGGAGTTTGGATTTGAGGCCAAAGGCTCGAAAAATATAAGGGGTTTGGAAAACAAGTTTTCTTGGGGGAGAACAAAACGTTTTTATGGTTGAAGTGTGTGCTGAATTGCAAGTGTGCGTGGAGTATAACACGATTTAAAATTGGTGATTCAAGTTAAAGTTAACGCGGTGGATCAAATTCAACATTATAACCATAGCAACATGACTTGACAATATACAGAGCGTGTCTGTGTGCTTAACTCACCAGAAAGATGATGTCGACTTCATCTCTGGTGCAATCAGTTCCTAAAACAACAGCACAAAGTTTTCTAGGGCAAGAAGGTGCAATTTTTCCCGAAATGGCTTTTCTTGAACTGTAAGATCTTCCGCTGCGAAAAAATAACTGTACAAAAAAATAGCCAGAGTTGTCTTGGTATCTTAAAACAGCGCCAAAAACAGGCACACGTGTCATTTCTACGGCTTCCTCAGTGCCGGTTTTATGAAACTTAAACACATTTCTCAAGCTATCATACGTGTGTTTATGTCCAGAAAAAGGCTATGGAAGAGAAATCTCGGCTCCGAACAATCATGTGCAACAGCATGTGTTATAGGACCAATACACGAGCGATTAGATATCACAGATTACAAGTGATCAGCGTACACCACAAGCGAACGAAATATGGGGCAGAGATACCACAAAGGGGGAATCTAGTACGTGGGGGGGGGGGGGGAGGGGGACCAGCTGTCACGACGGTCCTTATGTGTTCAGGGTTAGCTTGTGCCGACGAATAGCCGTTGATTCAGCAAATTGCCGGGGAGTGATATATTTGCAAGTGCGCAACATTTTGAGGGTGAGCTTTTCTGGTGGCATGGGATTGGTGGGCTGCTTTTTTAGTATGTGATGGCAAAGAGGAGTTCTAAATGCTTTATTCTCCGTGTCCCAGATACGTTCATTATGCCTCGTTCACACATGACACGTTGTCTCACCAATGTAGAAGGATTGTCTTTCAAGGCTGAGTTCCCCATTAACAAAGTGACTATTCTATGACGTCACAAGTGTTTACGCCATACGCAAGCAACTACACTCCAAGTCGTAAAAACCGTTGTCACGAGCTGACCAGCGACATCATATATTAGAGCTTGCTGAAGGCGTTTGACAATAGGGAACGCGGCAAAGAGGTACGCGGCAAAGAGGACGACGTATCTCCTAGATGACGTTGCGCGTTGTACACCTGCCCTCCCCACCCGCCTGACAGGTGCTGCACGCACAGTTACCTGTGGGTCGTTGTGTGAGAGCCAGGGGAAAAAGGATCAGTCGGTCCTTTAACCGGTCCTGTTCAGTTGTATGCATCCACTCGACAAGGGGATGCAGAATGGACGTAGTTCTATTGAGTTTAATATTTAGTTATGTTGATCTCTGGAATGAGTATAGAGAGAGAGAGAGGAGAAGAGAGAGATAGAGAGAAGAGGAGAGAGAGAGAGAGAGAGAGACGAGAGAGAGAGAAGGAGAGAGGAGAGGAGAGAGAGAGCGAGGGTAGAGAGGAGAGATAATATATATATATATATAGATATATTATATATATATATATATATATATATATATATATATATTTACGCATGTTTTATGTACATATGCACATGTTGATATGCCTATGTTTTATCACTCGGTGGATGGGAGATGTTGTTTCCATTTCTCGCGCGAGTCTGATGCATCGCGCATTTTATCACGCGCAGTGCAGTCATTTTAGGTGAAGATGCTTCCCACCTTTATCATCCCTTTTTGCACCGCCGTAGCATCTGAACCGAGACATCTCGCTGGCAGGATTGTGAGTGGAGCACTGGGCTCCACTCTGACACTGAGAAAGAGAAAAGCCGACGGGAAGCAACCCGTAAAGGGAAGCCTGTTGGTTGTTGTTGGTGAAGTTGTGCGTCCTGTTTGGGGCTTAGTTTCAGACATCATAATACTTGTGATAACTGCCAGTTGCGCCTGGACTGAACTCGAACTTGGAATGCAAGCTTTGTGAACTTCAGCCTCAACAATGCGGTCAATTAAATTAAGAAATAATTTGCTGATCAGTGTCAGTGATACTCGCCTCTAGAATCAAAGTATTCGGTGAGAGTAAAGCAGCTCTAATTGGGGTGACAAGTGATTTTCAGAATCAGTTACATAGCTCTTAGCAAAACACCGCCGCTAATTTTAAAGGCTGAAATATTCAAACACCGGCCAGTTTACTTTTTGCGGTATAATTAATTTTGATGTCAGCAGAATAAAATATATGATGCTCAACAAGAACTCCTGTAATCAGCAGTCACTCCCGATACTCTAATAAATATATCATAGACTCGCTGTCGTACTTTTGTCACTGCTATATGACACCACTGGCGGCTGATCCAGCGACGGGCCGGAACCGTCCGGAACCTTATCCAGTCCTTCCGGGAGAGGAGCAAAAACACAACCTTGGCCCACACAGCCAATCGCGGACACCCTTGGCAGCGCAACCAGCCTCCGACATCCGCTTGGAAAGCGGCGTGCCGTGTTTTTTTATTCTTTTTTTAAGCGTTTTTATGCGAGTGGTCGTTAGTGCTGGAGCTCATGGCATTGAAGCAGGGATGAAAATTTGTGCCAACGCATTGCACGCATTCGTCGCACGCCGTGCTTACGAAGCGGAGTGTAACATCTCACATTTATTGTCCCTGGAAATTTCAGTTCTTTTTGAGTTTTTTGCTCAAATAGTAATCCCGGTCCAATTTTAATGCCCACACCTTGCTTCTATTGCACGCCATCTTTTCTTTAGTACACAAGATACCTTGTTCACACTGCGATTATATGATCTAGGCATACAGCGAACAAGTAGCTTGACCCAAACATGTAAGAGAGTAGGTGATGGACTAAACCATGATGAGCGATTTTTCTGTCGCAGCATGGAGCTATCAACGACGCATCGCTGATTCAATGGTGATCATTACAAACAGGGCCAGCGGTAACCCTGTATGCATTTGCCACACAGCGGCAGGTCTAACGTTAACTCAAAGCACAAAACGTCATACCTCCAAGTCATGCGTGTCGTTTTCTTGAGCATAGCTGCACAACATTTTCGCTGTTGGGATATAGTGGAGCATCAGTCCCCATCCTGCTTTGAGGGGAGGGGACTGACCGACTGAAGGCATTTTTAAAGGCAAGTAAAGCATGTCTCATAACCGCTAAGACGCATCAGCTCAATTCTTCGCTGACGATGTGTTCCAGCTTCATCTTTGACCAATAAAACAAAGTCAGAAAGTAGCTAAAGGATTGAAAATGAAGCGGCAGACAAAACCATCACCTTACATGTTGGACAGACACCGTTTGCCGCAAATCAAATGCTATCGGCATCACACCGACCGGCATCACAGCGCACCGACAAAGACACCTTTTTGAGCGATGAGAATAGACACGGTACACTTCTTTCAATTAAGCTTTCTTGCTATTCTAAGGCCGTATCAGGAGCCACTCAAAGTGTTACCATTCAAAAGTTAAACAGCACTCATAACAAATCGTCTCCCTCAGTTTTCAAGCGAGCATTTGCTTCTGCGAGCGCCAGCCCAGCTCATAAAAAGTCAATGGAGTATTCATTCACTCGTTTTTCCGTCAGTTGAAGGCCTGGTGCTGCCGATGACCCAGCGAAATTGGTTCGTGCAAACTTACAATTCAAGCAGTTCATACAAGTTAGCAGTTTCAGCAATCCATGCAAACTAGCAATTCAAGCAATGCATGCAAACTGGGATGACCCATTCCCCACCCCATAGAATAGAGGTTGCAATCACAAACATGACGCCATTCTAGCTCATGCAAGCTGTCCTGACTCCCCCACTGCACAAGGCACCCATCACCTAAAAACTGATCATTCATCTCCCCCTCAAAACAGAGCCTGGCTCCGCCGCTGCGCACGCCGCCGCATCACACACAAAAACAAGACCAGCCATCTCCCCGCAGCAGGGAGCCTGGCTGCGCCGCTGCGCACGCGAACAACGCATAAATTGGGACAACGCACTGTGCCGACGATGTGGCGTAGAAACGGCGGGAGCGGGGGTGCGGGAGCACGTCAAGCCAAGCCAAGCGGCTCGGACCGGGTCGCCGCGGCGCAGCTGTGGGTCCTCACCAGACAGCCGCTTGTTCACCAGACAGCCGCTTGGCGCTTCCGCACGCTGATATGTAAGTTGTCGGCTAGTCGCTTTGAAGTTGGACACGTGTGAAAATTGCTTTCGGGCTTGTGTGGGGAACGTGCTTGATCTGTGTGCTGAACTTACGCTTATGCTCTGAGTGCTATGATGATGATGCGTAGGGGACGATGTTTTACTTCGTTAAATGATCGACTCATGCTTAAATATGTTTTTTGTGTGGATAATTATTCTATTAATATCGGTGTGTCCTTTTGCGCAAGCATTCGAGTGGAAAGCATCGCTCATTCGAGAGATGTCGTAGGATCTAGAGATGTTGCGGCACTCATAGAAGTCAGTTCTAGAATTGTCGGGTAGGCCCCGTCCAGTCCAGCGCGTGTTTCATTCAAGTCACGACGGTTAGTTCCCGACTCCGCCACCGACATAGAGTCAGCAACTCTCTGAGCACGGTTTTTAGCACATTTTTGTCGTTTAGTTGGGTCCATCCAAGTCTGGAAAGTGACCACCATCTGGCTGCCAGCCTGACGTGTTATCTTCCGAACCATGGTCAAACGGAAAGCTTTCCTTCTCAATTTCCCGTAGTACATAATAGCGGGAAATAACAATTTACAAAATTAAAATAGGTTATATTGATGCTTCACTTTTTGTTACCTTTTATGCTAATATTTTACTTTTCCCATTATCAGAGCACAAAACACATCGCGATCATAATATTTTTAACGTGTTACTGGTTCAAGGCGTGACTTCCTAGCATGGTGGTGGGAAAGTGCATGCAAATACTCCCTCACTATCATAATACGTACCAAGAGCATCATTTGCTGTATGCCTGGCTCCACGCCTTTTTGTTTTTCAGAGTATTGTTTGGGAGAATACCAGTCTATGGGATCATTGAAACATTGGAAAGCTGTCGGGAATGCACCGACCTTATTTATGGCTTAAGTTGTGATGACATCTCTTTCATTTGCAGTCTCATGCGGTTTTTTGCGCTTGTTGCCAATATCTATTTCCTCAACAATTTAAGCTGTTAGGTGCATTTGCGAGAAACATTATGCGTATAGATAAGACGGTAGTAATAGCCTTATTCCTCGCAGAAAAAAACAAGGAGAATGAAGAGACAGATGGGTTTATATTTCGGCAACATGCCTTTTCCGAAATCAATTACTGATATTCGTTTCGATAAAGGTATGTTGCCGAAATTACGTAAGCTGTTCAGCGCATAAGCGAGGAACATTATTCACATAGATAATACGGTAGTAATAACCTTGTTGGTCAGAAAACCAGAAGAATGGAGATATAGTTAGGTTGATATTTCAGCAACATGCCTTTCTCGAAAACTTGTACTCTTGTTTCGAGAAAGACATGTTGCGGAAATGTCAACCTAACTATATCTCTATTCTCGTGGTCTTCCGAGGAATAAGGCTAATACTACCGCCTTATGCACGTTGCCGAAATATCAACGCATCTACTTCTCCATCTCCTGGTTTTTCAACGAGGAATAAGGCTATTACTTTTTTCCCGATTTTTCATTGTCCACTAGGATTCCCAGCATCTGTTTAATGTTTTGCTTCCGCGCTGAGCTCTGTGCAAGACGAGACCAGACAGTCATGAAGAACCCAGGAAGCCTAGACAATCCAGACAGTCACGAAGAGCCCAGACGGCCCAAACAGTCCAGACAGTCATGGAGAGTCTAGACAGCCCAGACAGTCCAGACAGTCACGAAGAGCCCAGACAGTCCAGGCAGCCCAGACAGCAATGAAGAATGATGTCTGGGGTCTGCTAGAAATATAAACAGTTCAACAACGGGCAAACACGGCTCGTATTTGCGGGGTTGGCGCACGCGGGCCATCATTTACGAGTTTCATCGCATTGATAAATGATTTAGTTCAGCACCATCATCATCGGCTAATTCCGATCGGTACGCTCTTAAGAAAGCAATACTGTTACAACTGCCGAGCACAGCTCAGTTGAGTTTTCAGGAAAAGGTGGCGCAAATGTTTTCGAATGTGTTGCAATATTATATTTTTATAATACTTTTGTCATGCAATAAACATTATATTTAGGTAGCAATAATTCACCGAGGCCCGTTGTACAAAACTGCTTGGTGTAAGTGGTTTTATCAAGCGTGGTTGTCGTGCAACATTGCAAAATGTTATAAGTGTGAAATTGATCTTGTTAAATATTGGCACGACAGTCTTCCGGCGTCAATGTCTCTAAAATAAAAAGCTCTAACTCAAATCCAAGTTTCGGTTAACCGTGGTGGCATGACCACGGGATCATTCCGTCTTGGCTGAGCAGAAAAGACGCGATGAGATTCCACAAATGCAAGTCGTTGAGAGCAGCATTTCACGCGCCACCCAAAGTGCAGAACATGAACCCACCATTTTGTTGTTTTTTTGGGGGGAGGGGAATTCAAGGTATGCGGTGTCCGATCTCGCAGCCAGAGCATATAAGGGACTTTGAACTGTAAACGATAGTGACAAAGCTCCTGATTGGGCGCGTTTGGCGCGTTTTGGCGCGTTTGGCGAGTCCTTCACGTGTGTTTGCAGCACTGCGTCTTTTAGGTGTGACACCGAATTTTTAAAAGCAATTTTCTGTGCCCACAAGAGCTTTTCTTGCTATATGCTCATAATCACGCAATTAGTCATCATGAGTAATGTGTGCGTGTGACACGCATACTATGCCACACGGCAGATTTCAGTTTGTGCGGCGCCCTTGCGGGATAGTTTTGACCACACGCTTGCTCTCAGCCTCCCCAGGTGGCGCTTGCGCATGCGCGGAGGCTATATGTGCAGAGCTATCCCGATTCCCTAGGCCCGGTGAGTCAGAGGACTGCTCCGGTGACACGAAGGGGGGTCGTGTCCTCGGGGGAATACCACCGGAAGAAAGGCCGGAAGGCAGACGATGGGCGTGAACCCAGCGCTGGTACAGCGTTAATCCCATAGCGAGGCATCACCGTCCAGTTACTATCATTTCCTAGGCATCAACCGGTCGAGAAAAAGTCTAACGATGTCAGGCTGGAACCTTAGATCTCCCGCCTGTGTTGGCACGTGTATTTTCCAACTGCGCCACCGAGGTGGCCATGTGTGAAAAGAAGTTTGTTTCCAACGGTGTGACACCTCTCGGGGTGAATGCAAGCTTTCTAAAAAAAAAATTATCTACATTGTACGCCAGCAATCAACGAGAGCACATGTTAAATCATTTGAGCTATCTTTCAATCGTGTCAAGAACTCTACAATATTTTTCAAGCATTAGACCCGCATTGAGGAAGTTTTCACCTTTGCCCTTCGAGGGGAGGGCACACAATCCCCCCTGACATATCAAAAGTAAGCCAACAGGGGCCGCTCAGAACACGACATTGTAAAGATCTTGCCGAATTTCACTGGGATGTGCGTTTAAACTACTGGAAATATTCCAAAATGAGACTGGATTAGCACTCTCCTACCACTAAGTTAGAATATCCCTTCTAACTCAACAACTTAGCATGCTACGACAATGACAAGACACTGTCGAATAGCTCATCAAAACGCTTTCAGATAGGCACTAGTGGACATTGACAGATATATCCTGCGATAATGTCACGTCAGGTCAAGGAGATCAAGGTGATCATTGCATTGGTCCGACCGGCTATATCGCGAATTTAACAAGCCATGTCAATTGGGGAGCCTGGTCATAAAACTCGTTCAAGACATAAGGCATGTGTCATTAAGTCTTAAATCGTATGCTCTCCAAACAGCTAAACCTGCTCACGAGGAACAAAGTTTGACCTAGCCTCACCCTTAACGCTCTAACACCACTCGAGCCACCAGGACGGTAGCGATACGCTTCATAATGTTTTAGAAGAAAAAAGTAGTTTAAGAAAGATCTTTTGGAGTGCATTTCCTGCGAAAAGTGGGCATTGTATGTCACTTTCCAGCCTATGTCACCGAAAAGACCTTGTGAAAAGCGTTATAGAACATAAACTGTCGGTCTCAAAGGACCTTTTCATCTCCACAGGATGTGCAATAATGATGTAAGCTCAGGTACCCCAAGTTTCACTGCTCAGAAGTTATTTCGGAAAGCCTTACAAGTGGCCCGCACGCCTTCCCGGCCCCCTCGTAGGAAGGGTTAAGTATTTGCGAGGCTTGGAGCCCGCGCTCAGTGTCGGGCCTTGGCAAAGTTCTTTTATATTCGGAGCGTGCTTCCCTGGGGGCTCCCTCAGCGGATGGATTCCGCATGAATGACGAGGACATGGCATATTCTCATCATCCGTCCGTAAATACGATAGCGTGCACTCCCTTGAAATATAACAGCTTTCATTGCATTGCCTCTGACAGACTCACATCACCGACAGTTTGCAATGTTGAAAAGGCGCTAAACTTACGTTTTCTGTTATGCTGAATGCTACAGTAGCCACTTAAATCGCGTGGCAAGTGCCCGTCAAAAATTTGCGAAAAAAATATGGCGGCTTGAGGCGCATTACAAAACGGTTATTGTGCATTCAAATGAAACGAGTATATCAAACATGCCATTCACGCCCCGTATTGTGCATCATACGTAGGGTCGCTCATTAATATGCGGTTGGGTGAAAGAATTGTCGTAAGCGCCTTCAGCCGGCATTTTATATAGTTGGGTTGATATTTCGGCGACAAGCCTTTATCGAAACAATAGCAACAGTGAAGTCGAAGTTGTCTGCCGATGATCCTACTCAATTCTTCAGGTTTTTTTTTGAAACAGCAGACCACAGTGTTTACAGGACACCAACATTCAGGGGATGAAACAAAGACCGATTGCCAGCCATTACCACGATACAGTGCCTGTCTGAGAATTAGCATACGCGAACATACGGATTGCCTTAGGCGATTTGTGAAAATATTAAGAGTGATAACAATCTTATTTGAAACCCCGACGAGATGGCATTATATTACCACGATAACGGCTCTTATCACGGACATAAGATTTCCTCAGAATGCAACAGGGAAGACCCAATTGTTATTTTAAATTATTACTGTGCATTGCCACACAATTTGGAACTTTTACTTTTCGTAAGGCAGAAATTCTTTTTCTAAGGCGGGAAGTGAAACTTTCACTTTCACGTTCCGTGAGGCGAAAATTTGTTTGGTTCACCATGTTCATGCAAATATGACCATGTCTTTCGTCGACTCGCTGGTATACCGCCCAAAAAGGTGCATCACTGGCGTGAGTGTTCAGTTTTCCATTTCTTGGCCATTCGGAACTCGCACGCAGCTTAGTTGCGCCAGCAGCCAGTTCCATAATACGAAGCGGTAAATTTTGTCCGTTGAAAATTTACTCAGGGTAAGCACATGGGAAAGAAATGTGCCTCTTCATCTGATATTTTGATTTTTGGCTGCTAAGGGATAGCGCAAGTCTACAAAGCCAGGTATTTCTTCACAGCTCTTCACAGTCCTTAGTACAATCTGAAAGGTGTAAAATCACAGTTTCACTTTTTCCAACACACTACTAGATTTTGTGATGGAAAACAGCCGCAAAACAAAGGTTAATTGGAAAATTGCACTGTTATTGCAAGCATTTGCGCACATGTCCATGCTTGCAGTAGCGAATCAATATTTCAACATAATACAAACGTTACGTTTCACCAAAGGAATCCATTCCTCATCTAGAACAGATGAATTTCTATAAAGCCCATAGCATGTTGAAATTGCAACACATTCATGCCCCACGACCCATGCGACGACCCATACCGTTCTCCGGGCAGGGGCTTACCATCAACGCCTGAATCAACGCCCATTCCACCGCCCGCAGAGTCCGCTCCAAAATGTGGACAACCCCCGCCGTCGTCTGCGGCGTCTGCCTGGCATTAGTGACGTCCGCCCCGGCCATCGACGACGCCGCCCCCGATAACTACGTCTACGACTATGACGACTACGCCGACTACGGCCCGACCAAGGAATCGCTGCCGTTCACTATCTTCGACGACGTAAAGCCGCGTCCGCCTGCGCCTGACGTCAAGCTGCCGTCAGCCTGCGCCTGGGCTGTGGTCCAGTGCTGCGCCAACCCTGACGCCATGGTGAGGCTGAGGCCAGGGGCGCGCCCAGGCTGGCAGAGGGGTGGGATGCTGAGGGCAGAGGCACGGCCAGGGTTGCAGGGGAGAGGGTTTTGAGTGCAAGGTGCACCCACGGTGGCAGGGGAGGGGGCAGAGGCAGAGGGGGCAGAGGCACACTTAAGGTTGCAGGGGGGGAGGAGGGGTGGGGGCAGAGGTACACCCGGCGTGGCAGGGGATGGGGCGCTGACCGGAAGTGCACGGGAAGGGGCTATTCAACAGTTTCCTAGTTATTCAAATTTCATTAGACCATGTGTCTCCTCTTAAAGCCAACCGTAACAGCAACAGGAGAGCGGTGTCCATGATGGTGGTGTTTCGACATAAATGACGTGATAAGAAATAATTTGATGAACGCTCAAATCTCCTGTAGGTGCACATGCCTTACGCCCCTGGTTTTCTCTTTTACTGCTTTGTTTTCATGTCATTGGCTCGGGCTGCATTGACGTAGTTCTTAGCCTCAAGCAGCCTTAGACGTTGCATACGTTGATGACCAAAGGGTAGTTATTATACACACGTGTCGGGCTGAAGCTCGTTTATTTAGCTTCGCTCGTACACAACTGACAGCCATGAGACCCGTAACAAATGTGAAGCCTATGAATACAGCTACTCTGATATCCAAGTGTCAATGACATTCCCACCCCACATATGTAGGGGTTGGGGGGAAGGGGGCGCGTACTGAGAACGTGTTTCTCGCTGATATATTTACATGCTTTCCATTTATCTGGAGGACTTTTGGCACGCGTCGGGTTATTCGACAACAATACGTGAATTGCGATCCCCGTCCGAGACTTACGCGCATCCCCCCTGTCTCCCCCCGAATATTAGCACCTTGCAACGCCTCTGACGGAGGGGTCCCGAGTGGCTTTATTGGTGGCGAGGTCAGCCTCAAGTGGCCAGGAGGGCGCTGGTCTAAGCCAGCTGGTCTAAGCCAGCTGTGTCGCGTCTCACTCGTGTGAGGCCGCCTGGGGCTTGCGCCGACGATGTTTGTGAAGCCGTGGTGAATGTTTCACGCTATGGTGCTGAAACCTTTTGGATATTTTGGGAAACGGTTTTGCCTTCTTTCTGTGCAACACCATTGACTTGTGCTGGTTTTTGACAGTGGGACATGATGAGTCTTTGACCTCTCCCTCCCTCTTTTATCCTCGGTTTCGTGCTCATATTTTTTACATAACAGGCTACGACTCAGAAAAATGTCTTTGCAACGTGGGCCGAGCGAGTTCGTTGAGTACGACGTGGCGTAATGGCTTCATTGTATCGCGCCCTGGCGTCATTGCATCGCGTCATGGAGTCATTGTATCGCGTCATGACGTCACTCTGTCGCGCCATGGCATCACTGTATTGTGTCATGACGTCATTGCATCGCGCCATGACTTCATTATATCGTGTCGCGACGCCACGCATGGGGGAATCGCATGGTATGTTGTTCTAAAGGCTTAATCCCCTTTTGTTACAGGGAAGCCGAATCGGCTGTTTTTCAAACGTTGGTTGCTCCGGCGCCTGGCTACAAGACTTCTGCAAACCAGAAACCAAACAGCTAGTGCTGAAAATGGTTTTGCAATCTTTCCAGTTGACGCATAAGAAATAGGGTTGGCTATTTGGGCGCTGCAACTGTTGTTGACGCAATTCTATAATTTCATGGTCATTTGTCGCCGCGAAATGCTGGAGTTTTATGTCAAAATTGACTCAAAATCCGGCGTTTTCCGTTTGCGGTCATGACAATTTCTGCATGGTCAACACGATCACTTTTCATCATTTCAGGCACGCTATAAGCCATTCTCGGTCAGTAAATTGTCATTCTCAGGTACATCGTGGAAACAGAACTGTCCAAATGCAACTATCTGTAAAGAGAAGGTGACAATGCCTGAGAACGACTGGGAGCCTATTGATTGTGTTTTGGTCGCTTTAGATACCATATTGTTGGTAACAGTCGACTGTGTCTGAAGAACTATGAGGCACAATCCACAACGACGGAGTCATTTCAGTTGGCTATGTGTACCGGCCATCGAGAACTGCGCCAAGAATGTGCGAATGGTAACGAATGTAAGTAAGTCGTGTGACTACGTGTGACTACTAAGCGTGTGATTCGGACACATAAGTGAGATAATGCACGGTTCGATCAGGTGAATCACCCTTAGAAGATAGATATATGAATCTGGTCAGGTTAATGCGTGTCTTAATAACGCCGACTCAAAAATTCGCAACCGTTGCGGAAGCCGCTGTGTCCATGCTAGCCTGACCAATGTGACGATACGTCTGGTGTTTTCATTCATTGTAAATATCTTCCACTGGGTGGTTCCCGGTGACCATTACACTCATGATGAAATACATCGCACTCGATAAAAAACTGTTTTTCTTGGTGCGGCGCGTGACGACGCAATGCCGGTGGTTAGCACTTGAAGATGCTTTCGTGACAAATTTTTACGTAGCTGTTTCCTCAGTGCCAACGAAACAACCGCCATGAAACGCTTTCTCATCACTGCGAGTCATTAAATCTTATAATGCATAGTGCAGTATAACACACAGCGAAACTATGGGTGACCGCTATGCGTAACTGCATTGCAACAGTGCACGCCGTGGGATGGCAATAAACTCTCCTCGGTTTACGATGTTCACTCAGATGACTTTTTCTACAAAGCTACTGGTGTAAGTTCAAAAAGCACTCACTTACCTCCTTGTAGCTTGGGGTCAAATTTGAGAGGAGTTTTCCTCCAAACTACCTTAATACTTAATGGCAGCCTACCAATCCTCGACGCGCGGGGGGAGGGGCGTTACGACATCACCAATATCGCATTACCGATATCATGGAAAGACGGTAAAAGTGACAATGCAAAATTGGTGTAGCTGATGGAATGTACACTTGAACGCTTTACAAAAAGGTCAGCTGGTGCGTTACCTCATGGAGCTATTATGTCGCCTCTAACGGACATCAAAGCCATTTTACTAGCATCAGCATTTTGCGGATAGTGACGATCTGGGGTTGCCTTACACACTCTGACATTTTGATAAGCATCAATCCCTTGCTAATTAAAAAGCTCGGTAAAAGTAGGCGCTTCTCTTTTGATCTTGATGGCCGTCACCAACTGACGTTCGTATAAAGATGGTTCTCGATGTGTTGGCAAAAATGATTCATCACCGCACAATTCTCGACCGATGCACGTTTCGTGGAATTCGAGACCGGGCAGTACGTGAATGCTCTGAAAACGTGCGATCGTTTAAGACATGTATGCGCACCAGCATCATTTATATTGCTGTCATCGTTAGTAGATTGTAGCCGGCATAAACCGTTTCCTTTAGCATTCTTCTCTGTAGGTCATCATCATTGTACACCGCCGATTACCTTAATGATTCTTTGAAATCAACAATCATTAGTTATATCATCATCATGTGATCATCACCACATGATCACTATCACCCAAATGTGATCGCAGATGACGTCAACGTCACTCGAATAGTCTCCTTCCACTTTCAGGACTCTGAGATCACGAACGCGACTCACAGGTCCTGACACACCAGAGGCCAGCACGTCGAGTCACCGTGCTCACCATGGCGTGGGAGGCTCAATTCAGCGAGCTACCGGGAATACATGACTATTCGCGCCACCTCGGTGCCCTCGCGACTAATTTTGGCTGTCCGCGCCTCCCACAAGGTCCTCAAGTGACTGAATTGGCGGTAGCCGGTGACTACCACTTCCGCGACGCTGTGACTGGTTGTCGTTTCTTATTTCGAGCCCCCGCGGACAGTCACGTGACATTTCGTCGGCGCATTCACGTGATCACGTGACGTTTCGCCTGGCATAAGCCAGCGGTCACGTGACAGACTCCCAGGACGCGCTGTGGCCACGCAACAGGAGCAGGAATATCAAACGGGCGACGCGGCCTTCCCAGCCCGAGATAAGCTGAATCAAAACAGCGGGCGACGCAACAGCTGCAGAAGATTGACACCCGTGATAGGGCGGTCTTTGATTCGGCGAGGCGTTGCATTGCAAATGTCTCGCGCGTCTTGACGCTGCGGTTATGCAGCGTGACGCTCTGGGCTGTCCTCCCGCTTGTGAAGGCAGCATCAGATCGCCACGATGGCTTCGGCTCCGCTGAACGTCGGAAACCAGATTCTTGCTGCAAACTCTGAACCGACTGGTCTCTTGCGGCCGCGGCTCCGGATCGTGGGTTTTGCCGGATCCGGCCAGATCCGGCAAATCCGCCAGGATTCTGGTTTGATGTGTAGCGCACAGTACTTGTCGACTTAGGGAGCATCCCCCCCCCCTTCTTAACACCTAAAACTCTTTAGTTTCTGACCTACACACCTGCGGAGATGTGCAGGCTCCTTCGCGCGGATTATTTCAAGATCACCCAGACACCCATGACGCAATGATAACGTCATTCAAATCCTAGCATTTCATGGGCCATGCGGCGATCAAGGCGAAAAAAGACATCCTTGCCGATTTGTTCACATGTGACGTTCCTGAGTGCGATTTCCAGATATAATGGCCGTCAACTCTCTCAATCGATGTTGTGCAAGGTGTGGTGACGCAATCAAGCAATTAAGTATTGTGAAAAATATTAACTACGTGGGGGAAATTGTGTCGTCTAGGGCAGTCCTTTCCACTTCAAAGTATACTTATTGTCAAAAGTGAGCTTATTTCACCACACCTGATGCTTGCTTCAATATCTTCAAATTTGAAGCATTGTCTTTAACGTCTTTCGCTGGGAACGCCCTGTTAAAGTCCTGTAGACAAAAATCCAATTCTACGGATTACGCGGGACCATAGGATAGTAAAGCCGAAGTAATAATTTTCCAAGACGAACTCTATTGCCTGTGACAATGGTGCTATTTTGGATATTACGTTTCGACCGGTTTTCTTCACCCGATTATTTTTCAAACAGTATTTCACCAACAGATGCCAGTTGATCATGCGATGTGCCTGCCAATGGCTGCCTGGCAGACAATACCTACAAGGCCTCATTCATGGCATTCGAGGACGTGCGGAGGTGCTTAGGAGGTGCGGTTCGCGACTGGCTGGTTTCCGCGCTCAGTGCACCGTGAATGTCATATGAATTATATAACCATGACACCCACTCACTTCACACTCATCACACGACAGCAACTACGTATTCCAGGAGTGAGACCATCCCAAAAATGCTGAGGATGCGGGTATCATTTCTAGGTACGTTCTTTCTTTGTAACTCCGTAGGCGCACATTCCACGATAACTCGACACGTGCCTTACACCCTCTGCCCTTAAATTTTGATCGAAATGGGTCATAATGGTTGCCATCAGCGCTGAGGTCGCCTATGACATTTCTTAATCTCTCATCTGCACCGTTTCGGAGTTAGAGCTTTCGGCAAGTTCGAATTGCGTGGTTGCACTGGCAATTTTTTCTCTTTTATGGCAATTTTTTGTGGCAATTTTTCCACTCTTTTAAAGAAAGTTTGGCAAACCTATGCGTTGAAATGTTCAGCAAACTGTCCAGAATGTTTTTATGCCGCTCTTAAAATCGCCATTGCAAAATAGATAATAATCAGGACACAGTGAACTTTTTTTGCAAGGCACGAAGAACAATTATCCTATCTGATATTGACCTTTTTTCTTGCTTGCGTTTAAAAGAGCGTGGTGTGGTCCTCAAGGTCCAAAAATAAAAGGAGTGGTCCTCCGCTTGATCATTTGGGACCTTTCAGAAAACTATACTTTCGTAGTTCAAGGCGAGGTTCAGCTGTTTCACCAGAATGCAAAGCAATGCACGCCGCATCTTTTCGTGGTATATTAACTAGAACCTGGACAGCTTACGCCTACGAATTATTGCGCGCTGTCAGACACGATGAAACATAATTTGCGGTTGCGGTCCATACATTTTTTCTATTTTCTATTTCTACAGCACCTTTTACCGGAAGTGAAAAGCCCCATTTCACACATGAAAAAATGTTTTTCTTTTCAGATGGATCCGCTACGCAGTGCAACAACGGGTCCAGTTCTTTAAATACTTAGTTTCATGAGGGGAACTTAAGCGCGAAGTGCAAGTGTCATAACGTCGCCATATCCTATAGGAAGAGCCCTTTCCACACGGTTGGGGACCTTGAAAAGGGTTGCTGCCGGTGTCAGCCTGTCGCGCTTCCATTCAAATTATCTTCTCTCTGCTGAGAAGCTATGCCAGCTGTTGCAGAGCAAGGCTAATGTGCAGACAGTATGTTTCCGCGTACCGAAAGGAGCAGTCCTTCGCGAAGAGAATGACCTCAGCACCAGATTGCCTACCGCTAAGACTGTCAATGGGACAATTCAGGCCTGCAGAGTAAGCCCAGCGAGTGCTCGGACCGCCACTGTCGGTGAGCTAGATTCAGGCGTTGAGAGGGAAGTAGCAGTCGCTTGATTTCAAGAGCATTGATAAGTCAGAGAAGTTAGGCTGAGTCACTGGCGCACTGAATCGACTTCCACGTGAATGCGAGCCATCTTGATCTAAGCTTAGTGCTCCCTCACAACGTCCTCATTTTCCGCCGCCTGTGCGGAGAGACGCGTGGGAGTTACTGCGCCGGCAGCCAACGGTGGATGGCTCAAATAAAGTGTAGTCCCTTATTTTGACATCCTTTCTTAACCTTCCAGGCCGATAACCACCTTTTTTGCTTTAAATTATGGGTTAAAACTACGCCACTTTACACGTGAACGACAATAGGCTCTAAATCACGTAGGAAAATGGTTCTGGTTGCCTCACGATATTCATAATATCACAATCAAGATTTATTGTGCAATGACGGTTCCAACTACAACACACACACACGTAGCCTAGAAGGTTTTTGAACCAATCTGACATCCATACTTGTAAGGTTTTCTTTCATCGTAGTAAAAAAAAGCCTCCGAACGTAGCCATTGAACTTCACAGCGGGAAAATACCAGAGGCTGTGACTCCGAGATCGCTCAACTCAGAGGCACGAACATGTCACAGGCGTCTCCAGCGCCGCTGACAGCCACTGTAACCCATTTGACCCAAATCCGAGAGATGAGGGTATAGAACTGACCCTTCAACCTGTCGATTTGTTGTGGAATGCCCTAGTGAGGCGCTCGTTTTCTGCAGACCGCAGATACACCTCTAATGAACAGTAAAGCTACGCCCATAAGCCAACGCCTCCGGAAACACCGATGTTAAGCCACGACTGAGTCATGCCTGAGGCGGTTGTACTCATGGTTGTAATCAATCACTGCACCACATCGTTTATCAACAGGACGCGCCTGCCCGACCTCATTAAAACCACAACGAGCGGAAAACCCGCTCACTCCACCCACTACTAAGCCGCGCCTTTGCCCACCACTATCTCGCCTGGCCGGCCGCAGGCGGCGTCGCCCAAAGCCGCGCCGCGGGAAATGCGGCATCCGTCTGCGCGTTTGCGGTTGAATTGGGACGACCTTGACGGGCCGCCAAGGTCACCGCGTCTGGGGTTGAATGTCGACGATTGCTGTTACGAGGAAGGCCTGCTTGAACGAATATTCGTCGGGCGCCGGTGATGGCTGTTGAGTGGTGAAGATCGGGCCTCTTGCTCGCGATCTGTCTACACATGTCTGACGACCTTCTGACATGAAGTGTTAGGTTAACTTACCTAGGAAAGCCCTTACTCAACACCGGTAGCGTTGTTGATGACGTTACGTTAATCCTTACCTTTTGAGGCATGTTACGACGATAAGATGGATATGAACCGGACGTACTTGACATAAGCAGGCCGCAAATCCTCCACTTTGCAACGAAACGTTATGACTAGCATTGCACGAACGCGTCTCCTACGCAATGCGCACCTTCACATATGCGCAGCACGTGCAGAAGCGAGCGTAAATGTGCGTTTCCTTGCAGCGCGCGCGTGCGTAATGACGCTCCCAATGGGTTAACTTTGCACGTCGCGTTCGTTGCCGCGCACGTGCACGAGTCACGATATTCCACGCGGAGACCAGACTCACGCGGGAACCAGACCCACGCGGGGACCAGACCCACGCGGAGACCAAACTCACGCGGGAACCAGACCCACGCGGAGACCAGACCCACGCGGAGACCAGACCCACGCGCCTCGCGCCAGTGATTCAGTGATCCGCGTGATTGCCGTAGTTGAAGCGCACACATTTGATCTCCGCGACTCGCGGTTTTCACGGAATCCCGGCTTCTGCACCAGATGCCACGAATCAGCTTCCGCTCCTCACTGCAAACATTGCCGCCCAATTCTAGATAGGAAGGCAGCGACGCCCTGACTCATCATGTCTTTGCGGGAATGTGGGAAGGGTCATTGCATGGCAAATGGCTTTTTCCATTCGTGAACGGATGAGCGGAGGTATATTGTATTGCGCTAGGTACATTGCCTTTCATTATATATACTTGCATTTAGGGCGCAACAGAAGAAAAGATAGCATTTCAACTTACACCTCATTGCTCTGCGTGCCTACACAGCCGCCCATAACGACCTAGACTTACTGCCAATCTGGCAACGGTATAACCATATACTGGATATATTCATTGCTCTAGGAGATAAACTAACATCCTCCAAAAACTTTACAAACAACAGCGGACGCGGTATGTTCAGGGTTCGTCTTAATGGAAGACCACGAGCGCGAGCCCACGAGCCCAGAATCCCACGCTTATCGATATTTATTCTTATGCTCTGGTCTGTTGACGTGTTAAGTAGTCTTGCTGGTTTTGGGTTTTTGTTTGCTAGTTTTTTGCGGCCTTTGTTTTAAAGTTACCATTCCCAGGACATACTATCTGTAATCAGAAAGGACGGCACGACTTAAACGAGGCAGCACGTTATGGTGTTTCGTTGTAGTTAAAGGTATTGCCAGTTTTTCAGCCGCTTTAACACGTTGGGCATTTACACATAGGTGGTAGTAGAATTTTCTTGAACAATTGCGATGGCTAGTACTTCGTCTGCCCTCTAAAGCATCACGCGCAAGATTATCAGCCTGAAGATTTCGCCGAGTGGTCACTCAGACTTCACTAGTTTTAAAGTACACGAGTTAGAGCGTGAGTTTTAAGGTAGTCCCTCAAAATGCAGCTAGAAACCTGGCGTCGCAAAGAAATTACAACGCAGACCGTTTGCTAGACGTTAGTGCAAAACATATTTTGAAACGATCTCTCCAAAGCATTATTGTTAAAACACCTTTAATCTGGGCTCAGTGGTACGTCACTTCCTTTTCGGAAATACGTTTGGTTTTGACATGTCTTGAAATAACCATGATTGACAATACAATTAGACGTGGCGGCTGTTTGATGGACGAATCAGCCTCCCGGAAGGCGTGGCTTCATCACCTTCAGGACGATACATATTGGTAGATCCAGTATAACGACTCGTGGAAGCCCTCCCCCCCCCCCCCCCACCCCTGAATCGCATACCAGTCCCCAAAAATCCTGCCTAAAGGGCGGGAATTTTTATCCCGTTGTGTCCACCTAGATCCACTCCCGATAAGGCGGCCGGATTTATTGGTATGTACTACGGCGCAAGGTAGTTTCTGCCGTCATGTTGCAATATGCTATAGCTTCTAGTGTAACTGCTGCAAACGCATCGTCAAAGGCTGCAGCATCACCGAGGCATGCCCATAACGCGATCACGTTTCGTTTTTCCCTGTGCATGCAATTTGTGCTCTGTGTTCCTCCTTTTAGGAGATTGGACTGACTGGCATACTAGGTTAAGATCTTATCATCGATGCTTTTGCAGAACGTGCATGGGCATACATGCTCACTGCAGAACAGACAGCTTCGGCGTGTTAGGGTACTTGTATTCCATACTTCCGTGCCACATATGGTATGAGGTGCATACACGATGAGAGCCAAACGATGAGATGCGTTAGTGTAACAACAACAACAAACATAACAAACACTTCACATGAACGCGTGTCGTATGAAACAGGTACAATTGTCGAGACTCGCAGGTGGTAGTAAAGCCATGCGTGGGTACGTCACGTTTTTCAAAGACTCAGAAGCCACTCATTCAGTTCTTTCTCACGCAACAACACCACTACAAAGGATGTTGATCTTATCCATCCTTATAGATGAAGCGTCTATTCATTCGGCGAAGCTAAGGAAGGCTGGGCCAAATTATCGCTCAAGCTTCTCTTCGAAAGCCTTGGGAATTTTGTGTTCCTCTCAAGGCTCCACATCACACCTAAAGGACAAAAACTGACAAAAATCGCCCGCAACCAAAGCCCATCTGAGTCTACCACTCCTGCCAACCATATTCGGGCTACCCTCCCACGGCTGCTGCTACAACATCATCACCGCACAGACTCGTCACTCTCCTCCAGCCCGAGCGCCCCCTGACGCCACGCATCAGTGCTTCCGCAGCGAGTCCAGCACCATCTTGAAGATGGTCTGCTTGATGGTCGGGGTGCACAGGTCGGTGAACCAGGCGCCACTGCAGCCGAGGCGGGCGAAGCAATCGGCGCGGTTGCTCTGCAATAGTGAGAGACTCTGTTAGAGTCATGAGTCACGAGAGTCGTGGGCTCTGCCGCAGGACGAAGGACGCGTCCCCTCCAATTTTTACGGAACTTTACATCGTGCCTGTTACACGATTTGGAACGACACGCATTGGAAAGCTCCATGCTCCATTTCATTTTTCACCCGTGGTAGAGCCATTGTCAATGAGAGAGGTCCTCCTTGTGGTTTAAATAAAACGACACTTGAAATCGCTTGATTTGGTCAACATCAACAGCGTTTGTTAATCGATAACAACAGGCTCACAGACACACGTAAACTGAAAACGTCTCTTAATTTGCTTTTTTGCAATCCGTTTTTAAAACTCGTGTCTGAGTCGCTGAATGAGTTCTGTATATTGTGCTACCTGGCACCAAACGTCAAAAAAATATGGACGCCAAAAGACGTCAAACGTCAAAAAAACGTCAAAGACTTCAAGACTTCAGACGTCAAAAAAGTAAATATGGTTATCAACAAGAATGCTTAATGACCTTCTACTTGACCGGGCCTGGGCACTCACCCGTCGGTTGGGGATGTCGCAGCACTGCACCACGCCCCAGGCGCAGACCGACGGCTGCGTCTGGTCCCAGCGCGGGCTCCTCGGCTGCACATCCTCGAAGATGGCGAACGGAAGCGACTTCTCCTCCCTGCGCCGCTGCTCCTCGTACTCGTCGTCGTACTCGTCGTCGTAGTCGTACTCGTAGTCGTAGTCATCGTCGTCGTCGTCGCGGTCGGGGGTCGGTGCGGCGGCGGCCAGCGCCACCAGAGCCAGCAGGAGCAGCGCGAGTGTGCTGGTATTCATGTTGGAGGACCTGCCGGCGCACAAGGCACGAGTTATAGGAGCGTTGTGGGAGCCTGTCACTGTCTCCAGTGTGAGCGTGTTCAAATAATGCAATTATGCTTGCCGCGCGCTCCAGTAGTGAGTACCAGGTCCAGCGAGCATCGACCCCTTGTAGCGAGCATTGACCCCAAACCTCAGCCCAACTCCTTCAGACACCCGATCACGGACATCCGCACGGCGGAAGTGAACAACGCCACCAAGCCATAGAAATATTGTTCAGTGCGCTTTTTTCAGCTCGTCGCCCCGGGTAGAAAGTGGTTCGTGTTCGTTATCGATCAGTAGCAATGTGGAATGGCAGCAACACAATCTCAACGTGCAATTTCATGACGGCAGTCTGAGCCAGCAAATAACCTCCTCATGGTGGGTAGGAGCCCGAATAGGAGTTGAAACACATTTCACCATACGACAAGCGCACTGGGTATCCGCGTGCACATGTGGGCATTGTGACTGGCAGAGGTGGGATATGTCTTGCCAAAAATGTAGCTTCAGTGATGGGTAGAAATTTATCGCCTAAACTCTCTAAACTCGTTGCGTAACGCTTTTTAAAGTTTTTTTTAATGTTTTCTATTAAAAATATGACTGTATTAAAATCATTCAGCTTAACATTTCTCCCAAACGAAAGGCAACAACACACCGACCGGCTTAGATACGTGGCACAGTAGTTATTTAACAGGACGTAATCCAGCAAGGCTTCTGCGTGGTAAGGGCGACGAAGGTTCCAGCGTGATACAGTTATTTCCAGCGTGATACCCCCTCCCCACAACGTTTTAAACATGGAGAATGTGGCCCTTAAACGTTGCAGAGAAGAAGTCAGCCAATATCCTGTCGTGCTACCAATTTACGGCTGTTATAACATTCACAACACAGAACACTCCATAAGCAACACAACATGCAGGCTGCCACCATCTTTACACTTGGAGGGGGGGGGGGGGACTGGCCCTCCGAATGAACATCGTGTGTCATAAACCTCTAACCTTTTCTGAATCGACTTCTCACTTCTCGTCGTACGCTTCTCACTTCTCGCCGTGCGCTTCTCACTTCACGCTGTACGCTTCTCACTTCTCGGCGCCGTCCGTGCCCGTCGTCTCTCGGTTGCACACTGCTCTGCATCGGCCGGGCGGCGTCTATAAAGGGCACCAACGACATCCGGCGGTGAACCAGTGACGTCACCGCCCGGCGTGGGGAGACCAAAGATTCGCGGACGCCGCGAGGCGGGGCGCCGCCAGCTTGGAAAAGCCGGAACAGCCTGCAAGCGCCCCGCGGAAGCGCTGACTACGCGTTGTGCGTGTAGCGTGACTGGCAGGTAGTGAGGTCCTCCATGTTCGGGATTTGCGCGCGGTGAATCGTTGGCAGTGCTTAGCATCGGTAATGCGACGGATTTTCTGCGGAGCTCGGCGGCAGGCGTCCGTATGCATCAGCGCGCGGCTGCACATGCCGCCCGCGATCAACCGCGATAAGAGAGTCACCTGTCTGGCCGATAATCGAAGGACGCTGATTGGCTCGCGGGGCTCTGAGTGACGGTGCGCTGCTTGGTACCGCGCCGGCGGCACTTGGTGCCATTAGGCGTAGTTTTTGGAGCGAGGTTACACAAACCTGCGCGAAAAGTGCTGAAAGTGACGTGGGCTCGTGAGAATAGACTGAGCTGCTGCAGCGACATCGACATAGCTTTTGATGGGCTTACACCACAGGCAAAAGAAAGGATATGAGTCACCCCCATCTGTTAAAGGTTTAAAAAATCCATAACACTACGCATTATGCTTTATGTAGAAAACAATAATTTCAACAATTAAATTACCTTTCTTTACATTTCATTTACGTAAATTCGAGCACCATTGGTCTCGCGTATCACATCCACAACGCTGGACTAGTTCAGTTGGTTATCGCGGTGTGTCTCGGCGGTAGTTGTGTCGGAGGTCAGCGCTTTAGAATAAATTCCCATAAATGACGACAACGCTTTGCAACTGCTTCTAAAATTTACGGTAGTAGTATGCGCTATCGTTGGTAGTTCCAGATTATCCTTTCCACAGTACATTTGCCTGCTAGTTCTTCCCAACCAGGAAGGATTAACTCAAATAAATCAGATGTCGTCAGTGGCATGCAACAGACGAGACAGAGTGATGCAACAGCTAATACCAGTCTCATCTGAAGAGCGGTCACCAGACGTTTGTTTCAGACACTCACAGGTCCTGGTCCCCACTGCTGCTAACATAGGGGGAGATATGCTCCGTAAGAAGTGCCTGGAGCATACCCTGCTATTGTACCTGCGGACCAACCACCCCGTGGCAGAGTTTTTCTTTTGGCCAGAACCGGCCGCACCCAGGCCCGTCAAGGGAGAACGGCTGTAACCTAACGTTACTTAGAAAGGCTTTCAGAAGGCAGGCAGAAAGGCAGGCAGAAGGCAGGCAGAAGACAGAAAGGCAGAAAGGCTTTTGGTTTTAGAGGTATTATGTATTCGGAGGTTTAACGCCAATGTATCGACATTCATTATGCGAGGAAATACTGGTTAAACGCTGTTTTAGGGCAAACTTGGGTTACATTGCCAGCACTCAATGTTTCAAGCTATACTTATGATCACGAAAGAACGTGATCCTAAGCATAGCTTGAAACGCCTAGCATCGATAATATAACCACCGTTTGCCCGGTATTGTCGTTTAACCAGTTTAGCCATCTGGTGGTATATTCGAGACCGATCACTCAGCATAAGACCTCTGTACTTATAATGGCGATGGAAGCGGGAAGTTAACTCCGGGTGCGGAAAGACAGATCCCAAACAACTTCTGCTGCAGGAAGGCAGATCCAAGACGACTCCGGCTGCGACATGACAGGTCCAAGACGACTCCGGCTGCGGAAAGACAGGTCCAAGACCACTCTGGCTGGGGAAAGGGATCCACTCACACTGACCCCGTCCTGATATGCCTTTGCCTGTTTGCTGAAGCTTTCAGAATCGTGTGCTTCACTGCAATGTGGTCATCACAATTCGTTTCGTGTCCAATCCCATGGTTTTCGCCAGTCACATCTCACGCGAGAATCGCTTCACCTTAACTCTCCTTGATTCACTTCGCCTTAACTCTTTTTGATTCACTTCACCTTAACTCTTATCGATTCACTTCACCTTTACTCCTATTGATTCACTTCGCCCTAACTCCTCGTGATTCACTTCACCTTAAATCTTCTTGATTCACCTCACCTTAGTTTTTCTTGATTAACTTCACTTTAAATATTCTCGAATTACATAGAAACAACCAGGCTCTGACAATGAAGAAAATGAAAGCTGTCATGAAGTCATGCCGTGTCTATGTCAGCTGAGGTGCTGGGCTATACCATACATGGAAACTTTTCTTCGAAGCTGCTGAAAACTAGGAGCTTGCCAGATCAACCTATTATACAGGCAAAAACGAGACCTTGCCTCGAAGACAGTGATCCCGTACGAACAGAGGTATGGGATACGTAGCCACGCGCTCAACTCTCGCAAAAAATCAAAATCAACCCCATGGCGATGCGTAACAAGAAATAGTCAATATCTTCCACTGGCCCGCCTCCTGTTCTAACGTTGTCAAAGGTGTTTCATTCCGCGAGGGATTACAAGAGATTTAGTGGCCTGCAGCCCCAGACTGCAAATATCGGAAACCGCAAACTGCTGGCTTGCACCCGATATGGTTTCCAAGAGAGATATGACGTCACTTTGCCAAATGCTGTTATACTGCAAAGTTTTCATGGCACAGTCCGAGTCTCCCGCATTCGCACTAGGTCCTATTATAAGGTAATCATGGGTCTTAATCCTGCTATGGAACCACTGGGTTCTCGAGAGTCCTACCGGGCCCAAAGTTTGCTACGGCTTGAATATTGTGCATTCTCTCGCTGTGAAAAGCATATTTTTATGTTATCAGCATGTGCTGAGTAAGCGGAGACGTTAAGCAATTATTGGTATCTATCACGAGATCTCATAAGAAGTTTTATAATGTATGTCATGAGCATGCTCATCATATACATGGCGAAAGCTATGGGCTAGAGAAAGGTGAGTGTTATCACTACGAATCACAACGACTCCTTGACGTCCTCCTTCGACCAGCCCCTCCTGCTACACTGAAGGTCGTTAATTTGCAGCATGACAGCTCGCATTGCCGAAAAACCAAAGCTGCAGGCCCTTCTTGCGCACGTCGAGCATGACTCGACCATCGGTCGGTTCCAGTCACAGCCGACTGCCCGCAGAGCGGTGGAAAACCACAACCTCGTCCAACCCCCATCTGGGCCCCATGCCCATCCGGCCGGCATGGGCGGCGAATTAGGGGGGCAGGGGGGCAGCCACCAGCGCTCGGGCAGAATTCAAGACAAGCCCCGTTGCGGTGCACGGGAAGCGGAATCGCAAAGCGCGTTTCTCCCCAACTTTGTCGAGGATCCTCCGCCTCTGCCCGACGGACCTCATCACACCCTGCGCACGTGCGCTCTCCCGCATAGAACTCAGCCACTTCCTGTCCTTCGACCTCTCCCAGCCCCCCTCCCCCTCCCCGCGTCCGGAACAACTCACCGTTCCTTCCTGTTTCGTGCTCGTGGCGCAGAATCGGGGAGGGGCTCCTTCGGGTCACCGAGGTCAAAGGTTTGGACAGCTTTTTTTTCTTATGTCGCCGCGCCGCACCCCTGCGCACAACCACTAATATGCATGAGAAAGAGAGAGAGAGAGAGAGAGAGAGAGAGAGAGAGAGAGAGAGAGAGAGAGAGAGAGAGAGAGAGAGAGAGAGAGAGAGAGAGATAGAGAGATAGGGATATATAGGGATATATATATATATATATATATATATATATATATATATATTATATATCTGTGTGTGTGTGTGTGTGTGGTGTGTGTGTGTGTGTGTGTGTGTGTGTGTGTGTGTGTGTGTGTGTGTGGTGTGTGTGTGTGTGTGTGTGTGCGTGTACGTGTGTGCGAGCGCGCGCACGCGTGTGTCTGTGTGCGTGTACATATTATCCTTCGGGTGAACAACATCCATGGCGATGAACTTATCCCAGCTATACTAGCTGAACCCTTCCCCAACTTTGAAAAGGGAGAGGATTGCCTTGAATGGTGTTTGGATGGGGCAAAGGTAGGCTGAAACCGCCCCTGCTCGCTCGGAGCGCTGGAGAAGCGCGCCAACCGTGAGAGCAAGACCATTTTTAGATCATCCTTGTGATGCGCGAAGAAGCATTAAACATACACGGAACGGGTGGCCTTCTCTCCCCCCCCCCTCGCCCACTCGCTCACACCCAGCCCTGTTCCCTGCCTACCTGTACCTAAGCCCTTGTCACATGTTTGACGTTGCTGCCCTCCAGTTTTATTAGTCCTGAGAGGGGCGGCCAGCGGCCCCTGCGTCGCTGAGCCCGAATCGTGCAAACGGGCAGCACCGAGCATGCACGCATATCTTCTTAGTGTCACGTCATGTTGCACAAAAAAGAAGGCCCTGCGCCACCTCTGAGGGTCTTAGCTGTATAACACCACAAGCTTTGAGCAGTAAGCAGGGCCGCACGCTCATTATAACCTTAAGGAGCTCGTGGCCCCTCCCCTACCCATCTTACCAAATATATGACATGTGCCAATATGCCCGAGACTGAATGTGAACAGCTAACAAGTTCAGGTAAGCGCGTGAAGATAAGGTCGAGTAGATAGTAGAGATAAGAACGCGCCACGTTGGTTTATGATACGACAGAAATTGTGGTTGCCTGCGGTGCGCCAAACTCGGTTCCCTGTCAAATTTTTGGTTTATGCCGCCCCCCCCCCCCCATTTTGAGATCCTAAGAACGCCTCTGGCGCCAAGCATGCATGTGTGTGCTCGGAGTGTCACGTTATGTTGGGCAAGCAGATCACGCCCTCTGACATCTCCCGAGCTTCTTAGGTTGATTATACCATGCGCATGACATGGTTCCTACGCACATATTTTGAGTCAACTTGTGCCCTTTTGTACATTTCCTGGTCTGCGCATTTTTCGTCTCCTGATTGAAAAAGCACGCGCCTATCAGTTCGGTCTCTCCCATCGTTTGCTTTAAAAGCTACAATTGATATTCAATTAATATTCAATACTTGAGTTTGGTATCAGTGCCCATGAGTGCTTCGGGGGCATCCTTCCCAATGCTTTACTTCGCGTCGGCTTTTACGGCACGCTGCGCTGATATGACAGCTGCATGCAGAATACTCATCTCAGATGCATCACGTCAGAGGAGGTGCGGCAGGAAGCTCGTCACGTGATTTCCTGGAGGGCGTTTTGACTCACCCAGCGGAAGCTCATGTGTCAGGAGGAGGTGTCGCTTCCTCCGGGTTCCTGACCCTACTAATCTAACCCGCCCACCCCCTCCCCCGCCATCTTCCCACTTCCTCCCACTTGCATGGGGTGCGACGTGTGGCGTTTGATAGCACGTAACGAGCGGCCGTCAGATGATAGCAAGCAGCTAGCATGTGAGGGATCAGGGCTGGTAGATAGTAGTAGGCAGGTAGTTTTTTATTCGGTTGACTGAGCTCCAGCTCCCACCCCCTCCCCCTCCCACCCCCTCCCCCTCCCCCCCCCCGTCTCAACTTGGGCTTCAGCCCCGCTTAACTTTGGGAAGAAAGTGGGTAAAATCCGGGAAACCTCGTTTGCTGGAGTATTTTGGGGATAGGCTGCGTTATTTTTCACTAATCAGCCCCCCCACACCTCAAATCATGTTGCGAAACTTCGCCCCAGGTTCAGGGTTAGGCTCTGTGAAGGTTCTCTCTCCGTTCCTTACATAGGTAAGGTGAGCGTCTGCAGAGAGGATAATTCGGCATGAATTCAAAGTGCAGAAAAGCTGCGGCATTACGCGGTGTTACTGAAGTATTTCCAGGAAAAAGTTGAGGGCGACTCGCGCTTAAAATATTGACATATTAGCTGAGATCAGAGCTATAATCTATCAAAGCCTACAGAGTTATGAATCTTCAATAGGTTAAACACACACTGTTTTAACGTTACGGAGCAAGCATTACCCACATTGACAGAACCAGACTTTTCAAGTTTTGCTTACGAACACTTGTGATCTATCTCCTGGCTTACTGAAGATCGATAACTCAGCATAAAACTGTGAACTCACGGTGCCAACGGTCAGTAGCTGAATACGTTCTTTGGCTTGCATCAAAATTTAATTGCGTCTGTGCGAATATAGGCAGGCTTTGCCTCATTTCATGTCTGAAATCGCTTTTATCAATTGACGGGCAGGGCTACGCCTTACTCCAACGTCCAGTGGAGGGTATCAACGTTGCTCTCCGTAAAATCAGCTCAACCAGCTCAATTAGCACTGTCGTTTGTCCGTCTATTTACGGCTGGTGAACGAGGTGTCATTTATTTGTCTTCCGAAGCACAGAATCTAACAAGATGTGTATTCTCAAAACGGGACGCGGCCCACTTGTTGAATACATGACTGAACAGCAGCTGCAGAAGAGCAAAGATGCGAACTGCGCGCATGATATAGGTAGGTGCAGACTGCAAATAGGTGCAAACTGCGTGCATGCTATAACGAGCGCCTCGAAATAGGTCTTGAGAGTCAGACGCAAAATACATGAGGACCGTCGGTGGAATAAGGAATGATTCCTCCGACTCCGACACACCTCTTCTTTTGTCGGCGTTTTCTCACCAACAATTTTGGAACAAGGAAACGACGCAAAGCACGGGCTCAAGTTAAAGCACCGTCTAAAACAAAAGCAAACGGCAGCAAAAACGATAACAGTTGCAGTCACCAAAGATTCAAATTCGAAAAAAGCATGCGAGGCGAATGAAGACGACCATCAGTGCGAAGTGTCAGAAAAAACACGAAAGGGGTGCACGACACAAAGGCCAACGCTGCTGCACACGCTCTGCATGCTGTTTCACGTCTCAGCCGCAGTACTAACGCCAGGCCAGCATTTCTGTCGAACCGGCATCACTGCGAACCGGAAGCCGATGCAATGTGCATATCTTGACGATCGTGTGACACATCCAGCGCGACGAAATTCTCGCGATGATTCGAGGTGATGGTTTTACTTCCGCAGGGTTCTGAAGGCGTTCCTGAAGACATGCCGCTGAATGCTTGGAGTGCAGGGGTTCTCAAACCACGCTCCGCGGCAGCCGAGCCTGGAGAAGCATCCGGCGCGGCTTCCCTGAAATTTGAGAACTTCCGTCAGAGCAGCTCTAAGCGCGTGAGCTGTCGCCGAGCGAGCAATTGTTCCCGGCTAACCACCAGCTCAGGACACTTCACTGTGCAATGCTCTGACCAATGGCAGCATAGCAAAGACGAATGCCCGCATTTTCGTAAATAACCATGCCATTGCCACCACGCACGTGCGCAATATTTCGCAGTGAGGGACATAGTCGAAATCTTTTCAAGGAAAAATGACGGGAATGCAAACAAAATGTCATTAAAAGCGTGTTGAAATAAATGTTTCAGCAGGTGTCAGGACGTACACACATACCCTGTGACCCTTCAGACACATCCCTGCTTCCCCACCATCCCACTGCAGCGCAGGGCCTGACCCTCGACTTTATCATCCCAAAGCCACGGCCGCTGCGTTCAGCGCCGGCTCCCCGTCCCAAAGCCGCGGCCACTGACCACGGCGTCCGGATTGTTGCAGCACTGGACCACGGCCCACGAGCACGGAGACAGACGCGGCCTGGACCGCGGCTCCGGTTGGTCGCCGTCCAGGAACGAGAACGGCAGACCCAGGCGGTCCTCGTCGCCGTAGTCGGGGAACGGCGCGGCCGTAGCCAGCGCCAGCAGCGCGAGCGCGGCGAGCACGGTGGTGTTCATCGTCGTTCTCTGCCGACAGAAGTGGTTTGACGTCACCCCTGGCCTGGCGCCGCGCGTGATGACGTCATTAGAGTTTATTTTTGTTGCACTGGAGTTTATTCGCCCTGTGAAGGCGACCACGAGCGTTTGGGAGTAGGGAGAACGCAATTTTCGAAGTGGCTTGGTCGAATCGCTTTGTCGTTGAAGTTGAACTGGTTGCGACTTGAACAGGAGGAAGGTACGACGTGGGGTAATATTGCAACCACCTCTGATTTCGCCCGAAACCTCAGGACATAACCCGTAGGTAACCCCCCCCCCCCACCCGACGCCGGGCAGGGCGTGGGAGCGCTCGGAGGGAGTGAGAAGCTTAAGTACCCCCCCCCCCCCCCACCCGACGCCAGGCAGGGCGTGGGAGCGCTCGGAGGGAGTGAGAAGCTTAGGTAACCCCCCCCCCCCACCCCCACCCGACGCCGGGCAGGGCGTGGGAGCGCTCGGAGGGAGTGAGAAGCTTAGGTAACCCCCCCCCCCCCCCACCCCCACCCGACGCCGGGCGGGGCGTGGGGGCGCTCGGAGGGAGTGAGAAGCTTAGGTAACCCGACGCTGCCTCCTGCGGTGAATTGCTGCGGCCAAAGCGCCGCACGTCGAGGCTTTCAAAGGCGTGAGACGTGACGTAAAAACACGTGGCGAGGCGGATGTGGCAACCCTATACGGCGTTGTCTGGGGAGACACAAAGCTGAGACGTCGTGAGTTGTTCAGTGCATTTGCGGGGAACGTTGTTCACATATATAAGGCAATAGTAATACCCCTACTCCTCCGAGAAAAGGCAGGAGAATGGAGATATATATATTGGTTGATATTTTGGAAAGGTGCCTTTATCGAAACAATAACAGAAGTTTATTCTTCTGCTATTGTTTCGATAAAGACATGCTGACAACATATCAGCCCATCTGTATCTCCATTCTCCTGGTTTTTCTCCGAGGAGTAAGGCTATTACTACTGTTTTCAGACTGAAGTCTCACTTGCACATTCTCTCCCTTTAACAGTTCAGACACTCCGCAGCCACTGCTGACGACGTGGCACGCATTAAGACGAGAACACGCTCAGTACAATACGCCTTCGTGAACGACCCGTTATGTCGATGAAATTCAGTACGTTGGTTCACGCAGAAATGGCGCCGGATGACAAAAAGAGCGGAAGAGCGGGTGATTATCGTCGAGGTGGTGTGTGAGATGACAAGGGTTAAAATCGCTCCAGTCCCTTGACACGTCAATGCCCAAGTGTACGTGACTCCCAAACCCAGGAGCGGTGGCATCAGCCCGTCTCGGTATCGTGACTGTACCTCGCCGTGAGACCGCGTCAGATGCCGCCCGGCAGCCATCCGAATTTCATAATTCACTTACGGGGTCTTAAGTTACTACAGTCACAGCCACACATGCTGTGACTATGACGCCTCATGGTTGTCCTCGGCTTTGACGGTGAACTCACGCTGGGCGGACTCGAGTGATGAGTGCTGTACCACTCATGATTACTATGCATATTAACACTACGCACTATTAGTACTATGCACAATGTGCAGAGAAAGCGCTTACCCAAACATCCCGGAAGCACACAGACGTTCACCTCCGTTTCCTCACATACCTGGGTTGTCCGGCGTCCTCTGACGGTGTCCTCCGCGTGCTTCCTCGAGCTGATGGGAGAACGGTTCGAGCGTTACTGTCCTGCAGCCTGGATGCACTCCTCTCTTACATGATGGCCCCCAATGACGGCTCCGCTCTGCAAATGCGTGACGTCACCGCCCGAGCAGAGGTCAGACGGTCAGATCTACAGGAATAGAGCGAGCAGAGGCGGGTCGAGGTATCGAAAAAAGGGTATGCAAAATAGAGAAGTTCAATTGGCCAAGGTACCTGCATTCAGGGATCAACTCCGCCCAACACTAACAATCTAATAACGACAAATTAATTTAATGACGACAAAATCATTTTATTGACGTCAAAATAATTTCGACGGTGGCTAGAACGGCGATTGAAAGCTAGGGTTGTACAATCGCGCGTACCACACGGTGTGAGGAGAGCAGCTTGACCGGACATACTTGTTGCTTGGCCTTCCCAACCTGACGGGGAGTCTTCCCATACTGAGACGCAACGCTGATGAAAAAAATAAACATTACAAGTGAACAGGAGAAGCCATGCAAGTGCAGTCAGAGTTTTCCAGAATGAAAAAATCAGGTGGGACTGACCAGAGGATAAACCAGCGTTCGGGGAGAGCTCGGTGGACGGAGCTAGGGCGGAACCTCCCAAACCGATCTGCAGAACTACGCCCTGTAAACATACGACACAAGTGAGGGTGGGCGCAAGTGGACACAGCTGAGAAAAAGCTGACAAGATCATTTCGGACTGAACAAACAACACAAAAAGGGATGCATGGGATGTTGTAATGGATGTGAACAAGGGATGCTGTAAGGGATGCGTTTCTGGGAGATGTCCGTCCACCAAATGATGCAGACTCCATAAAGGAGGTGTTCCTTAGCTCCCCTGTCTGCTCCCCGAGATGGTATCCCCCGTTACTCTGTTGGGGTGTCTTGATGGCGGCTTCTTTTTGTCTTTCTGACCGCCTTCACCAGCTTGGTGGCAAACGGCTTATGGCTTCTTGCTTCATTCCACATTCGCTTCAAAAAGTTTGTATGAGTGACATTTTGTTTACAACCGTTTCCTGCGCAGAACATGAGGCGGACAGCCTGAACAAACCAACAAAGCTGTGACGCTCCAGTTCGGCAGATAAATCTGCCTGCGCGTCTTACAACGCCATGACAGGCCTCTTCCCCCCTCCCCCTCCCCCCACACACATGCACCGTCCCAGTTGAACAATCCTCCAATGACGCTTAGCGCCCTGCGACAAGTCTCATAGGTTTTTAGGTTGGTTTTTTGAACCTCCTTCAGCATGCGCTCGGGTGGGAGTCAAATTGACCCTCCCGAAGGTTTTTCCAGAATGGTTTCCAAACGGCGCGGCCAAGCCGCGCCAAATTTTGCATGGCGGTAGAAAATTGAATAGCGGATCGTTTGACAAAAAATTTAGATGTACAGTGTAAGGTCACTGGCCTTTGGCAGACCTGTGGAGTTGGTGCTTCTAGCTTTCTTAGTTCCCGAGATCTCATGGGGGGGAGGGTCAAATTGACCCCCTCCCACCCGAGCGAAGGATATCTAGCCGGCCACCCGGGCGCGTGTTAACCCTCAGGATATGATTATTGGAATACTTCTAAGCAGTAGTATTGCGCTCCTATCCTCCGTCACGCAGGAACCCAAATGCCTGCACGTTACTAAGAGGTCAAACATCCTTTGCAAATAAAACGTCTGCCTCCCCGACCCCGTGTCTGGCAATGCCACTGCGCCCCGCACGTGCGCAGACTGAAGGTCGCACTTCCGCCTCCGCACCGGAAGAAGCCGTGAAGGTTCCGGCTGAACTCCCAGTGCGTACTGCGGTATGGCGACAGTCCCGCATGGTACAGCTGCAAGTTTGCAGAGGCTGGCGCACGTACGCCCGCGGGAAGTGAAGTGTCACCGTCCGTAATCTAAGCTCAGCGTGTCAAGTCCAAATATGGATAATGTCTTGTTCGTTCCTGATCCCATGTGGATCAGGAACGATGCGTCTAAGATTCGTGCGACAGGCTCCACCAGAAATAAACTTAAGTTTTGGTTGTTTCACTTCGTTCTCCCGAGTGCTCCAATAGGAACTCTGGGGTAGGCATGGCAAATAGATTTGAACGGTCACGCAGGATCAGCACCTATTTCCAAAGGGTCTAGGAGTGACAGGAACGGCTACAAGTAAAATGCATCTTTCCTCTCCTTTCCCTCCAGATACAGTTGTGACAAACTATCCTGACCAGCATGCTGGGCATTGAGCCAATGGGAAGTATCAGTCCAGCCACCTATTTTACGTCAGCAAGCCCCAGCCGATTTTCCATGCTTGAAATATGACGGCACTCTTATGACGTTTGTGGAATGTATAGAGCGTTATAGCATGGCAATCATTAAAGCACGGGCACCCTTAAAATTGTACGCTGCAAATGACGATGCCGCCCTCAGCATGTATCAAGGAATACCCGTGAAACTCAGAAAAACAACAAAAACACAAGAGAAAAAAAAATAAAAAGGTAGGACGCATGAGAACACCGGGTTGGTAGGACCAGCGCGTCGTACAGAATTCTCGGGTAATTACCGCAGATGTGCGGTTTGAGTCGTAGCTAAAGCCGCGTGTCTAATTTCTCGCTGCAATTGGTGGCAGAGGCAATGGCACGCGCCGCTCTAAAAGTTGTGTTGACGTTGTTCGATTTGGTATCGAAGCTTTTATCAACTACCCGCATTGTATTGAATTGTGCTGACTCAGCGGCAAATGATCGCAATATTATCATACGATGACGTCCATACATATGGCGAAAGCACCAGAAAGATTTCTGCGCAGCTTCACGATCGGGCTTCCTGTCCCCTTTTTAACGACACCGGATGTTCCAGTCCCGTCTTGGGGCGGAGAACAACGTATATCCAATGACGCACGAAGGTTATAAACGACACAACATAGGATATCACTTCCATTCTGCGGTATGCACGATTGACGATGGGATTGCCTTTAAAATACGCCGGATGGTGCTGCCATACATTGTCACGCTGAGCCTGTCAATTAATTGCTCTGGCCCAAGGTGGCACTCATTCTCTTTTCGAAAAAGTTGGCCCTGAGCTAAAATTTGTGAAAAAATGTATTAATATTGGCAGATTTAACAACCACGTACCATGGAAATTATGTCACTTTATTATGTAAATCCAATATTAAGTCTAAAATAATTCAAATCACGGAAATCAGCACACATAAGAAGCTAAAACAGGTGAGCTGCATTTTATTGAAAAAGTTAGCTTTCTGCTGCATGGTTCAGGATGCATGTCGGTCATCCCTGCAGTTTGCTTGCCGCAGTTTTTCGGCAGCTTGTTGGCGCAAAATATCAAAACAAAGTCAAAATACTATCACCAAACGACTGCGACACATGTCTTGGCTACCTCAAGAGCTTTTTTCCGAGTGACGCCAGTATCAAGCTTTCTGCTTTCTGCGCGAGCGGATAGTTTGACGGGACCACTTTGTGCCCGGGGGCGGAAAACGAGAAAATCTCGTGACGCACGAGCTGAAGAGGCCACGCCTCTTCCGATTGGTTCTTCTAACGATGGTGTAAAAGCGCTAATGATCACGGTTATCCGGTGGTCCCAAGGCAGCGCGCTGTTCGGGTGAGGCTTTCTTTGGCTTTCTGAAAAAGACAGCGTAAGTTGATCCATGCTGGTTTCAGGTTGAGGGCTTTCCATCACGTCGCGATGGAATCCATTGAAGCAGCCGGCTGTGGTACTCCGCAGTCTGCCTTTGCCCTTTTTGCGCGTCTGCTCTGGGGATAATTGCTTTACCATTCGCGTAGCACGTTGGCTCAAGCGACAGGTTGTTAGAAAAGCGGGGAAGGAGAAAATGAGAACCACTAACAATTCTCCGCCTTATCCTCGACGCACATAAATTACCAGATCGTCAACGTTGTTATAGCAGGTGGAACGCGGGGTCGGCGAATGTTACCCGCGCCGGGAATCGAGCCCGATCTCTCTGGTCTTACGAGAACATGATTGTCCAATGGGCAACTCTGCGCTCGAGGGTAGCCCTCCACCTTGGTACGCATTCAGTTGAGAACAAACCATTTCGGAACAGATTGGCCTCATTGTGACGTATGGCACGAACATAACATTATCCATATATATATATATATATATATATATATATATATATATATATATATATATATATATATATATATATATATAAATATGTATATATATGTAAACATACATACATTGGAATGTTTTTAGCAGAATTCTTTCTTTTATACATGTTTGATCAAAAATACCGCTGGCTCAGCACTGACGAGCTTTTTGACACATCGTGCTAGTTTCCGGGCTCTTGACTTGGCATTAGCGGTTAGATTAAATGGTTCGCACACAATTACTCAAATGCTCGTCGCTTTTTACATCCTAACGTTTTGAGATCTTATCTCACCGTCAGAAAAGCCTGAATGGTACAAAAAATACGTTTTGAGTTTTAAAGGATCAAAAATTGTGCACTCCTATTGGAAAACATCTTTCGGTACGGTAACACAAATGGAGCATGGCCAATTGAAGTAAGACAGAATCATGTTTTTACTTCGATGTGTACAAAATACAGTCATAATGGGAACACTACAAAGATATGGCAATAGCGTTCCCACTGCGTCTTCGTAGTGTTCCCATTATGAGTGTATTTTATGTCTATGAAAGCGAAAATGGGATTCTGTCTTACTTCAATTAGGTATGCTTCATTTGTTTTCCCCGTACCAAAATATGTTTTCCAATAGCAGTGCACAATTTTTTGTCCTTTAAAGCTCAAAACTTTTTTCTTGTCCCATTCAGTCTTCTCCGACGATGAGGTAGGCTCTCGAAACATTGGAATGAAAAGAGCGACGAACATATTTTGAGCAATTTTGTGCGAACCATCGTTAGTCTAAGCGATAATGCTGAGTCAAAAGCCCTGAAGCTAGAACGATGCGTCAAGCTCGTCAATGCTGAGTCAGTAGTTATTTCTAATAGAAAAAAATATACATATATATATATATACATATATATATATATATATATATATATATATATATATATATATATATATATGTATATATATATATATATATATATATATATATATATATATACAACCTGGCATTTGTATCTGGCACCATGTGTTCCACCAGCGGCTTCATTGTCCGCACTGGGCATCACTTTTCGGCCTGGCAACACCCATCATAGGCTTTCGAGACACAGAACTCTTCCACGATCCGTTGCCAGTGCCTGCACTGTAAAGACGGCCGCTTAAAAAAATCACGGCGCGATTCACTATGATATCTAACAGATTCTTTCGTCACGTTCCGCCAGCGAACGTTTTCGATTTTCGAGTTTTTTCCATCACCCCTGACGTGACTAGGTTGTCTATTGGAGAGGGCACTTACCTGAGGTGATCGGTGTGTACATTTAGTGATAGGCATGTGTTTATTGCACCTTCGCAGTTGGCTGCAGCCGGGGCTGCGCCTGCAGGCCGTGAATGGCATGCGATCCAAATAAACAAATAAATCTATCTCAAAAATACACAACGTGTCAAGGTGCAACATTCCCTCCGAGCCCATGGCGAGAATGATGTTTCAGATATCGGTCCAGCCACCTCCACGCGGTAATATCAACCAACATCGATGAAGATCCCGCCGCGGTCAAGAGAGTGACCGGGGCGACGGTGTTTCGCTATGTGAAAAGTATGGCGTATCCTCTGCGCCTAACGCGAAATTTTGGTTTGCTCGCACGCATTTGCGGATCACAAAGCGGAACTACGCAACCAGCTTGCGTTAACCCAACCTACTTACGTGGAGCAGATAGTAGTAAACTGTGGATTTCCATGTGTCGGGCTGTGACGTAGTGACGCAAAAGCCCAACAAGAACCTATTTATAGTGTACTGCGCAACGTTCGTGGAACAGTCACGAGAGGAATTTGCTGCCGGCACTTCCACGCCGCAGCTGGGTTTAGCCTTCGCGTTCAATGCTGCACGATGCGATGATCCTAGCGGAAAATTCTTCCACCAGTAAACACAGCGTGTGACGCTCTCACCGTGACGTGGACCAGGCATTGATTAAGCGCAAGTCGGCTTAAATGAGATCTATGACCATCCAGACAGAAACCCGTCAGCATGGCACTCTCATGACAACCTGAGGATCCGTAAAACTAATCCATTTAGGACGACTGTTTATTGACGGTCTACATCATCATAAGGCACGACAATCCGATGTGAGAGAATGAAGGAGCGCACGTACATCTTCAAAGGAACCTGTGACAGGGGGCTCATTCTACGAGGCCGCGGCTAGTCTCCCATTTTGTGAAATCAATCAAAATAACGGCTGGATATGCCACCACCCTGAATTGTCTGAATTCACCCGAATGCAACACCTTGGGCCGGGCATCAGCCAAAGCCAACCCGGAAGATCAGCCAAAGCCAAGCCAAAGCCGAGAGGACCAGGCTCGGCGGTCGGCGGAAGTGCGGGACAAAGTCAGAGCCTAAGCTGATGACCATAAGCTGACGCATGTGTCGTTCTTCGCACCAGTTGTGCTACCTTCCAACGTCAGATCTTCTTTAAGGATTTGGTTGCACGTTTTGGTAGCGTTGTACGCGACCGATTTCAGTCAGACGTTCGGTGAATCTAACAGGGGATAGCAGAAATATTAGCGCGTCACAAATACCACGCGCCGGCTTTGAACTGGACTCAAGAGTTTTGAGCATATTTAGAAGCAAAAGGTGGCACGGTCCGCTTCAACTGTGCTCATCAATTGGCCATCATTTCATCTCTATAAGACAGCGGACGTCATACGGAACAGGACACGCGCTGTAAGCTCGAGGCGCAGCACGAAATTGTTCGAATCCCACGCAAGGCGTCGTACTTCCCGACGGGGAGAAAAGTCTGAACCATCGGGTGATCGTACCAGGCCCTGAAGTGGCACCTAAGAACTCCCTCGTGTCCTACAGCTGAGGCGACGGAGTTGTCAGCGCCGGGCGTGGCTGGCCATCTCAAGCACGATTACTGAGAGAGAGAGAGAGAGCAGACAATGTTCTTTTTTAAGATTTATTCGGTACGCTTTTATGGATTTCTGGGATCAGCGCCACCGCTAAGCAGCGCGTATTGCGCAAGCCTTGGCCTCCCTCTCCCTCCCTCCTTCCCCCCCTCCCCCCGACTCCCGACCGATCGTTCAATCCCAGTCAGCGGCCGCATCTCGCAGCCAAAGTTAGAGTGCCGCAATACTCGGCGTGTCCACCCTTCCCTCTGATGTCCTCCAGCGACGGACTAGACCACTCCGGCAGACAATGCACGCCGTTGTTTGTTGCAACATCACAGCGTGGGTCATGCCCCAAGACTAATTTCGTGTTGCATTATTATTTAAAGAACTAGTCCAGCAGGACTTTCCAGGCGGATCTGCCGGCGGGAAGTACGACCCAGGAAGTGACGCGTGCCATCAAAGCTCAGCAGACCATGTAACTCTGAACGGCCGGATCTGCATACACGCCGTGTGGGTGCAGCTGCCCCGAGTCAGACCTTGTCCCTGTCCCCATCCAGTATACTTAAGATCTTCTCCCAGGGACTGCACCTCCTGGTTCAAGTCTTTTCTCAAATGAGTGCGTAGCCCTATTTAACTGCCCTAACTTGTTGATGTTTTGGTTTTTATTGCTTCCATCACGAGCGTTCCTTGCATGTGAACATGAAGCTTCCATAACATGCGTTACATTATTCCATTGTTATGGGGGTGAAATTGGGCATGTATCGGCAAATGACGGTGTTCGTTGGTTGGCTGTGAGATATAGTAGGGTGAGCGGCTATTTCAGTGAGTGATGAGTTTGAGTGGCAGCACTCGACACGATATATATATATATATATATATATATATATATACAAAACACGACATAAAAAGAGGAGCTTTGTATGTTTTGCCCTTGCAAGGATAAATCATACAAAGCTCTCCCTCGCATGTTCGCTCACCTTGAGCCCAAACTTATTCTTGCCTTCAGTTTAGAGCATGTAGAAATACAGTTCTGGTGGATCGGTTCACAAGTTGGCGGAGGCGCTAGCCTTTTGACCAAGCTGAAGCTGCTGAAGCCGCTCTCCATATTGAACACAGATCCCGCAGGTCAAGTCAACACTGTATTTCTGCGTCACAAGCATACATCAACATGTCCGCACCGCGAGATCGTTACAAACCGGCAGTGACGTCATAATGGCGTCACACATGTACAGGAACGGCATTCACTGATCTACGTCCAGCCACACGACCGCACGCCTGTGGTTAACACTATTGCCTCGGGTAATGATTGTCTGAAAAACGGAGACATCGATTTGATGACGTCAGTAGTAGACAGCGAGTTTGGCATCTGAGGCTCGATGCACGCGCCGGCCTGGCTTCCTGGCTGGCTCGATGCACGTGCCGGTCTCTGCCGCGTTCGAATTTTATCGGCTCACAAATGAAAGAAGTGCTTCTGTTACGACTGATAACAACGACTGAAGCCGACTGGCGTGGGGAAAAAGAACGGAAACATCCTAGCACATAGCATGAGAACCACGAACTTCAGCCAGCCCACAGCATTCTGACAACGGCCAAGGCGACGGAAACGCGAATCGGGGACTGTGCGTACAGGTTGCCAATATATGCTGCGTGACGTCATTCAGGATATTTTACGTCAGAAATAAGCGCCCGCTCTGTTCATGCAGGGGAAGGCGTGGCAAACATTTGTATTGAGGAGCTGGACTGACTTCCCAAACACTACGCCTCAAGAAGGCTCTGACAACGGGGGAGACATGAGCGACTGATCAAAAATCAGCAGTGGTGTCACATAATAATGTTCGTTACGTCAATCATAATCGTTTTGGAATATGCATCGCAGGTTCCCCTCGAGATGCCCGAAAATTTTACCACTCGAAGCACCACTGCCGCGATCGACGAGACAGAGTAGCATACGAATTTCGGAACGGAAAGCCATGAAATGAGACAGATTTTGCAACAGAAACAAATCCCATTACTGCCTCCGAAGAGAACAGCACGACATCGCACCACATGAGAAGAGTACGTAACCAAAACACTATCGAGAGAGGAAGCCAGAAGCCGGTGTAATGACAGCGGCACACAGGCATTTCACGCGAAGCGCCTGCCTTCGTCCAGCAGCCATTTTAAGATGTTTCACCGGGGGCAGCGACGGACGCCATCTTGCATAGCTAACGTGGAGTACGCGGTCGGATCGGTTCGAGCGCCGCTCAACAGGCCGGCGTGGCACCTTACGACACGGGGTCGCTCGGCGACAAACGCGTGATGTTGCACACCCCGCCAAGACGGAAGAATCGCTCGCGCCGGTTCGCTGGTGTTGCAGCCGCGAGCGCAGGGACAATTTTGTACATGAGTATCGCGGCATTTGAAATGGCAAAACAGGAACACGCAATAAATCGTCATTTCGACCAGTGGACGAACTGGTCACGCGGACCGCCCGCCATCCGTTGGCCGCCAAGAGAAGCATTAGTTACGCAGCTATGACACGAGGACTTCTTATCAAGCGAACATCACGAACAGAAACCCAGCACTGGTGAGAGTCAGCGAATACACACATACGCACGCACAATGTACACTATGATCACCCATAAAAATCCTCTATTTACATGTCAATATGGAATGAATGTTAAGCTGAAATGAGGTAAGTTTCGGGCGCGTTTTAGGGAGTTACGCAACTAAAGAACTGGGATCTTTCGACGTGGCCGCCGTTCGCGCGGCGTCCCGTCAACGAAACAAACGCCAGGCCGGCCGCCAGCGCACCGAACGCGGTGCACGTGCGACTGAAAGCGCGCAATACCAAAATATAACACCTCCAAACAACAGCGGCGCGCCCGCCACCTATCGGCGCCCTCCCAATGCCCAGTTCGCGTGCGCGCCGCGCGGCTGAGCAAAACAACGACCAACTGAGCCCAACACAGGCGGCGGCCGCCCGACGCGTGAGCAGAAGCAATATCACATTCTGTAAGCATGGTTGGGAAGCAGGTGCGGCAATCGCCGATTGCACCTGAATTCGGCACTCTCGTTCCCCCTATGGCACACTGACGCCACGCGGCGTCGCGTCGCCGGCCGCGACCGTCACGTCACGCTGACGCAGGAGGCGGGCGGCGGCGGCGGCCGCGGCGAAACGCACTGACTGGTCCGCGCCGGGCACGGCCGCGGCGAGCTGTTGGTCAGCTGCCCTACGCTCAGCGGGTTGTTGGCGTCGCGCGGGTTGGCGCCGACCGGCGTGCGCGGCTGCTGGAACACGGGCGCCGCCAGCGGGTCGCCGCCGCTGGCCGGGCCGCCGGCCGGCGTCATCGGCGACGGCGCCATCGAGCTCGGCGACAGCAGCGACGCGAACGAGTTGGCCGGGCTGGCCAGGCTCGGCATCGACACCGACGGCGAGTTGGTGGCCGTCTGGTCGTCGGTCGAGTTGGAGTTGGGCGTCTGCGCCTCGTCGCCGTTGCCCGACGAGTCCATACCGTCCTCGTCGCAGTCGTCGTCGCAGTCCTCGCCGTCTCCGCCGCCCTCGCCGTCTTCCATGTAGCGGATGCACTTCTTTTTCCGTCTGCGGGCAGCGACCTACGGTCAGGGGCGGCGCGTGGCGGGAGCGCGGGACGCCGCGGGGTGCGGATGCCTCGCTGGACAGCGAAGCTTCCGTGGGCAAGAACCCCAGCCAACACGGCACAGAACATCCCACCCACACGCGGTAGCGGCGAGACCACCTTCGACTGCGCAGAATGGGGATATTTGTCACATTTTGCGACCCGAGGAGGCGAATCAGCTGCTACTTCGTTCTGGGATTTTTCACTAGAATCTGTTCCTGGCGTAAGCGTTGAGCATCTCCCGGTCGCAAAAATATCGTCGCGCTTCCGCCTGGCGCGTTTGCCCGGCCTTCGACACGCGTCAATTCATGTTAGCGGAAAGTTGAAACGTTAGTAGGCACATCACACTCGACAAAGCCAGCCGACTCACTTCAAGAGCCGTTCGTTCCACATCAACACAGCAACGAACACATAACACGCACGGCCCGTCGCCCCGTGGAGGTGACGTCATCGTCCTACGCGGATGACGTCACCGGGCAATGGGTGATGTCATCGTGCAGCGGAGCGCTACAAACGCTACCAACTGAGAAAAACGGCGACGCTGGCAGCCGGAGCCAGGCCGCAAACGAGTCTAGCGAATTAAGTCATTGTGTAATTCTAGCAAACATCGATCAGGCGTATGCAAAACGGCGATCAACAAAATACATCCGGACCAGTGGAAGTGGTCGAAGCGTGGTGGTAGACGACCGGTGGGAGGCGGGGGTGCAGTTTCCTACGCAGTTTGAGAGGGGATTCGAGCTTAATGCTCATCCGGCCGCTCCTGCCCCCCCCCCCCCTCCAAAAACACACTTAACGGCCGACCTCCAGCTTGAATACCATTACAAGATACATTTAATCAGAGGATGTGAGTCCATGCTGCTGGCGATCGGGGGCGTAGAGTACTCACTCATCCCCATCGAACGATATGGTTCAACTGAACACTTGATGACAAAGATGCAACACCGATAGCCTGCAGCTTGAGTTCTGGCCCTTTTCTGTGGCTCGACCAACGTTGGCAGCTGAATTTTGTCCAGTATTGCACATCCCGGGTCTTAACTTGGATAAGGAACCTGTTGGTGGCTAGTTTGGTGGAGGGTGGGGGGTGGGAAGAGCCAACAATACGCTTCGTTCCGCTTTGCGACGTAGCTTCATCCGTCACGTGGTCAGAAGCCCGTGACAACGATATATTTTCGCTAATTTCACTCCAAGGCAAAACGTAAGCGCAGGGTTAACGGCGCGCTTAACACCACAATGCAAAGGCGATGTGTCAGCATTATGCGGCTGACGGATTTGTCTCTGTCACGCGGACCGTGTCGCGTTCGGCTACCGGCACCGGTACACCAGCCGTCCTCCACATCCCGCACAGCGTCACCCGGCCTCCGCTGGCGACCCTTCCATCCCGCCCCACATCGACAAACGCATGCTGGTGAGTGCGGAGCATGCACGCATGCGCATGCGCAGAGCCACGGCACGCCAAAGATAAAGGCCGTCAGTCGGCGACTCACACTATAGACTAATAAACGTTCTCCCAGAGGGCGAGCGAGCCGCCTCGGCCGGCCGGGCCGGCTCGCCGCCGCCCCGGTCGGCCACAGATGGCGACACCGTCGGCTCGGCCGCGGCGCGGCGGCGGCGCGGGGGACTGCGGCGGGCGGAGACAGGCGGCCCCGTTAGAGGGCGCGCGGCCAATCACGGCGCGACGCGCCCAGGGAGCGACCAATCAGAGCAAGCCGCGTTGGCAGGCGGACCAATCCGTGCGCCACGAAGGCTGGCAACCAATCAGGACGGACCAGGCCGGCCAACGGACCAATCAGAGCGCACACCGCTGGCGAATGATCCAAAAGGCGTTGCACCAATTGCCAGGGTACCATTTGCCAATCACGGTGCGTGATTTGATCATTCTGCGGGACATCCATCGAATGCCGGAACCGTAGGTTCACTGGAGTTTTCACAAGACAGCCTTTTAGTGCTAAACCTTTGGTGTGCACTGTGGTGGTGGAAATATGTCATGTCATGTCACTTGAGCTTTACGCCGCACTCAGGTGCCTAGGCTGCATGGCGCCACCTGCCTCTCATACCGGCACCGCGGGGAATCGAACCCTGTACCTCTGGCTACCCACACGCATAGCTTAACCGCTACACCATCGGCACACTATGGTAGTGAGGAAACAAATCAGACGCTGACAAATCAGACGCTGTACTATTCTGACCCATGATATAACATAGACACATTAAAAATCAATTTGACCAAGTACACAATTCCAACCACCATCAAAACTGGGGCACGATAGTGTAGTGGTTGTTCTGCACGTTTGGGAAGCCAGAGGTGCCGGGTTCGATTCCCCGCAATATCTGCCCTTCCCGCCAGATTGAAAGGTAGAGGACACGTTATGGCCCCAGCAGCTAAGTACGTCGTAAGGTCCAATGACACACACCATCACAACTAAGTCATTCCAGATTTTAATATTGTACGTGACGACCACGCAAGTAGACAGTAGGCGTCTCAAAGCGTAGCGTCTTTCTATCGACTTTAAGAGGGAGCCTAAAACCGTTTGTGGCATGTTAGAGATTCGGCATTCGTTTAAAAGCACGAACATGATTTGCACGCGTCAGGCACTTCGGTGCCGAAGATGTCGATTGAACCAGGAGTGTTAGGAGTGACTGTTGCTTTTCTCCGCATACGATTCCCGACAAACAGCACCGTTTTAAGGGAAAAAAAATGGTCAACCGATCTATATCTCGATAACATTCGTGTCCCAGTCAACAGCCATTGATAATCTTCCTGCATATTCTCCACTTTTTGACACGCTCTGAGCCTCGTTGGTTACATATCTACGGCTCTCAATCATTTGAAATCGTGCTCATGTCGAGGCAGGAGCCCACCCAGTTTCACACAATCGCCAATAGCCTCGCTCCGTTAGTGAACCAAACCTAACACGGATATCCAAAGACAATCCACGAAGCCAGTTTCGTTGCCAACTTACGTGCTGCGCTTGGCACGGGGGAGACTCGTTACACAAAAACACAACTGACACCGATGTAAAGGAAAAGGTACATTTCATCCGTGCTTTCACTGATATGTTCCGGCAGAGTACTTGGGCCTGGATACACTGACACAATGGTCCGCTTATGCAAATGGCTGCGAAAATGTGACACTGAATCCAGACGCAAAGTGGTGTTGAACTGGCATAAAGTTTTTCGGTGTTTTATCGTAGTTTGAACAAGCTGGCTTCGTTCAAACGCTCAACAATGACTTCAAGACTCAGATTTAGATTAAAATTCACACGATTCAGGTTCAAAATTCATCGAAAGTTTATCGCATTCAGTGTGCTCTCTAATATATCTCCTAAACGGATAAATTTCCGAAAAATCGGTTGGTTACCCGCGCTGCAAAGAAATCAACTGCACAAATCACCAACACAGCTTTCATAGGACCGTGTAGTTTCTCGCTCGCTGACATTGAAGGCCTGCATCTAAGTATCACGTTCAATCTTAGGCAATGCACATCAACTATACGTATGGCAACTGACGTCATCTAAACATTCAACTTCGCCTTCTGAACAAAAACGCTTTGATTTCAAGGGAACGTATCAGCGTGAACACTAGGGATTGAAGGAAAACGCCCAGCCAATTCCAAAGCAACGCAATTTCGGTTTCACTTGCCCGCATCCTGCAGATGGTTTCAGAAGCTATGTATAAACCACAATCCGGAAAATCCACCACTTCCCTTGTCAGGCAATATGTAACGTGTTTCTCCTAGGACACGCGAGGACGCGTCGTCTTTTGACACGCCTGGGATGCGTCTATTTGAAACATTGAGTATATTTGGTAAAATACTTGAGACTGTTTGTGACATTTTTGGACGTGTCTTTTTGAGACAATGTGTCTTGGCCGCGCCGTGGCCCGAGGCTCAGTGAGGGCACCGCACGCGCTCAATACGAATCCAAAGTCTCACAGTGGTCACGAGCAGAGGTGGAATTTCCAAAGACAAGATCTGGGTGGAGGGGCTCAGGGGGCCACGTTTTCTACACTGCATCCGTGCGTCAATGTTTTAACTCAGGAACGTGAGGAACGTGGCTCTAACCCCTCCAAACATGTAGAAAAAGTTTCAACCGCGGTCACGAGGGCCCGACAAGACACATTCTCTCGAGACGGAAGTGATCGACTTCCAGTGAAAATATCAAACGACACCGGCGGAAGGGGCGGGCGTCCGGTCCGCACGCGTTAGCACCGTGAGAGCTTTGCTTTCGTATGGAGGAGATTAGTACTGACTAGGCTATACTATCCCCCTACCCAGCACCTTATGCCGCACGCGCGACTTACGCTGCCCAGGGCAGCGAACAGCACACAGGCGAGCTGGAAGGCCGCGCCACGAATTTCTGCGTCTATCATTTTTCGGAGATTGAAACTGCATGCGACCAACCTTCTCGCATTAAGACTTGCGTTCACCATCCGTAAAACCAGAAATAGGTTTCGACAGCAAGATAAAACTTATCCGTGCTCCTCTGTATGGACGTCGTATTAGAATGAACACGAAAACTTTATTCCCATCGTACAACTTTGTAGCTCCCAGCCAAGGCAGCGCTACAGCTCGAAAGATGCCAAAAGCCAGACAGTTTTACATCGAACCAAAAGCTAAATCACGACACAATAATTTCAAAACTCTTCTGCCCCGCAAAGAAGTGTTTAAAATTATCATTATCTATCATTATTTGAGGATAGAAAACAATATATGTATATATATATATATATATATATATATATATATATATATATATATATATATATATATATTATCATTCAAAGATCATCGACCGCTTTGCAGCCGCCTCCTGCGCCTCCAGCTCCCCTCGCGTCTGTTCGCGGCCCGGCGGCCAGCTTCGCGCGTCGGCCGCGGCGCGGCGCTGCCGTCGCGCCGCCATGCAGCCCTCCCCGCCCACATGCGGTCGGTGGCAGCCGGTCCCCACCTGCATGGCTTGCACCACTGGTCCTGCTGCTCCAGGCCGTAGCGCGCGCGGCATTTCTTCATTTGCGCTGCCGGTGCGGGAGAGTGGCAGTGAGCGGCAGTCATACGAGGTCACAGGGTCAAGGGGTTAGGGTCAAACACCAAAGCACATGTCGAACCGCATTGCTTTGGAATGTGGCAACGCGACGTGCTTTAGCCACGCGACGTGCTAGGAGCCCTCAGACAACCACGACAAATCAAGCAAGTTACTTCCTTCAACAATGTACGGAACGCTCCGTTTAACATTTTGATCGACACCCACCTCACAGCCTGGCGTCAGCTGTTTTCATGGTAGACCCAGTGAAACGCGTACTACTCGAGAAGCACCCCCGACCTGCTTGCCGCAGGTTTGGCACCCCGCTCTCCCTACTCTCTACCTAGTTCCACTCCCCAGCCTCTCGACCTTCCCCACCACCACACCCACTCACCGCCTTCTCCTCCCCTCCAGCGTTGCTCACCTTCTAACTCACCTCCGTCCACCTTGTCCCGTTTCCGCTTCTTCTTCTTGGCCTGGGCGTAGTTGTCCCGGGCCGACCAACCGGGGTACATCTGCATGTGCAGCTGGCGCTCCTTCCGCGCCATCTCGTAGTACTTGGACTGCTCCTCGCGGTTCAGCGCGTGCCACTGTGGGTCGGCGAGGGTCAGACGGGATCGGCGAGGGTCAGACAGGGGTCGACAAGGGTCAGACTGGGTAGTCGGGGTCGGCGAGGTCACAAGGGGTCGGCGAGGGTCAGACAAGGTCAGGGAGTGTGTGGCTCAGTGACGAACAGTCGAGATCGGCGGGGGTCAGGTGAGGCTGGTGAGGGTCAGACGGGGTCGGCGGGGGTCAAATGAGGTCGGCGGGGGTCGGGCAGTAGGCAGGTGTCTGTCAGCGGGAGGCCACTGATAACCAGACCACGCTCCTCTTCAAGATTTACTCGGCACGCTTTATAACGGATGGATTCCCGGGATCAACGCCATCGCTGAGCAGTGACTATTGCGTGAGCCCTGACCCCACGACCAAATCGCTCAACCCCGGGTCAACGGCAGCACTCAACTACGAAAGTTAAAGTGTCGCACTGCTCGGCGTGTCCACCCTTACTTCTGACGTCATCCGACCTCGCAGTGGCGCTGTCACAAACCGCACGTGTCATCCCACTCAACGGCAAAAAACCAGCGTCTAAAGCGACTCAAACCCACCCAACACGGCTGGGTGGATCGGGAGGACAGGCGTTCTAACACACCGAACTATCGGGACGGACGGACGTCGTGGGGGGGGGGGGGGGGGGAAGCGGGGGGGGGAGGTTACGGAGAGCCGGACAAGGTGGGCTAGCCACGGTTTGTCTCGTCGCACTGCGTCGCGTCGCCCAAGGCTAAGATGAACAGCACCCGGGTTAAGCGTGGCAGACGGCGGGCGGGGAGAGGAGGTGGTTCTGAGGTGGTGGACCAAGTTGCTGCTCAGCGAGAGAGAACAAAAAAACAAACAAAAAAACGGTGGAATGTCAAATGAGGGCGACGGCGGAGCTTTCAATCTGGAAGGACGATCACGGGGAGTCGAAACGTTTCGCGCCATTAGCACGGAGACCGAAGCCGCAACGAGACGAATGTAACGGTAGACGAATGTGACGGAAGGGCAGGTACGGAAGGGTAACGACAGGGTAAGGTATCGGGTGAGTAGGTGAGCGGTGACTTCCTACTTTTACAAGTCGCCTCAGGATTAAGGGCAGACAGGTACAAATCGCGCAGAAGCCGATGGAGTTGGTCACAGCGCTTCGCTACCGAGCGCGTTTCTGTTTCGTTCGCACTGGGTTTGGACGAGGTGAGAAGGGCTGCTTACGGCGGCTCGCACGAGGTTAGAAATCTTACAGCGCCAACAACCAGCAGCAAATTGACCCGGGATATGCGTGAGAGAAGGCGTGATTCGACAGCCTGTCTCTCGGCCCGGATCCGGACCTGCACGAGCGGCGTACGCGGCCGCACTGCGCACAACACTGCCGGTGCTCTGGGCAAGACTGCCATCGGGAAGTGGGACCACGAACTGGGACTGGGACATGTGGCGAGACTCCGCACTAAGACTCCGAACTGGGACTTTTTACCTTGATCCAGCAGAGGAAATCCAGGCCTGGACTCGAGATCGAGACCACCAGAACTGGAGCGCAAGTTATGCCTCCGAACAGGGATTCCGAACAAGAACTGGAATCCGCATCGGAATTCCGAACTGAGATTCGGTACAACCGATGGGATCCATGGCTGTGAGCGGCGGAGTGGCGCTCGGAACATGAGCTAGACTGGACGGGACGAGAACTGGAGCTCGGGACGGGGACTGGGACAAGAGCTGGAGCTCGGGACGAGGAATGGGACAAGAACTGGAGCCCGGGACGGGGACTGGGACAAGAACTGAAGCTCGGGACGGGGAATAGGACACCACGAAACTTAACGAAATGATCATATAAATTCTACGCCGAGCGGATAAGACCACATCACGGGAAAGGTAAGGAAGTCCCTCCAAAAAGGAAAAATAAAATACAACTACCGGAGCTGAACATGGGCGTAAACATAGCAGGTCAGAGGTGAACAAGCAACGGCTGTGAAGGTGGAGAACGAAGAGGAAAGATCCCGTGGGAGGGGGGGGGGGGGGGGGCTCAAGCTCCAACTCCCGAAGGCGCAAGCGTCGATACCCCATCGGGGGGGGGGGGGGGGGCACCAAATCAACTCGAGCGGGGCGCCGCCTCTCGCTGGAACGGAACGTTGAACAAAGGAGAGAGGATCAACAGCAGACGTCAATCAAACTAAACGGTCAAATACGACGCCAGGTCACGCTCAGAAGAAGTGACGTCTAATATATATGATACAGGCCGCACAAAAGCAACAGCACAAGGCACTCACTAGAGGTTAGATCCCTTTGCCTGCCCCGAAATCGTCCGAGCACCCAATGAAATTGAGTCAGAGTTCAGCGGAGAAATAAGCTCTGGTGACCTTGCCTGGTTTAAAATTGGAGATTTTAGAGGCACAAAGCTTGAACAAGTCGCGTTTTTTCGAAAAGTGTCGCATCGACGGGATTTTATTGGGTTCAAGGAGCTGGTCATATCCAGAACCCCGATCTTGCCACATCTCAAACGATCAAGTTGGGTGGTGCTGCGATCACCAATGTCGCAACGAGACCCACTCGCGTGTGACTCGGCAAAAGCACGCACAACTACGTGTGACCGAACAGACGGCCAGGGGACCAGTGACGTCATTTGAGCAGGCGGCTCGGACGGACTTTGGCGGCGGCAGAGAGCACCTAGTTCTAGTGAGCGCTACTGAACGCGGTGTCCACTAACCCGGAACGGAGCGGCGCCGCATGCGGTACGCAACGGGGTTTGAAATCTAAACCCTCCTTGAAATCGCTCTGAGGTGAAACCGAATCCGGTAGAACAAATCAAAATTTACGTAGTCAGAGACTCGACGAAGCAAGTCCACCCCATCAGAGGTGGGATACGTGGAACAGAATCGTCACGTGATTTGTTTTATTGATTCCGGGGGAGTGGACACCGCGCTTTGTGCTGTTACCTTCTCTTTTTCGATGCGAGCCTTTTCATAGAACACAGCCTGGTCCTCTTTAGATAACGCACTCCACTGAAAGCACATGACATCGTGAACGCCCCGCGCTTGGCACAGTGGGAGTCTTTTGTCCCCTGGTCTCACAACCAAGGTGGAATATGAATGCGTACGCAACATTATCTGCTAAGTCTTGGGCGACTTAATCGCTTTTAGACGTCAGAGGAATAAGCAGCAATAGGGGAAGGCCAACACGGCGTCCGATTTTAAACTAGCAGGGCCCACAATTCACAAACCACGCTGCTGCATTCAAGTCACACGTGTATCAAAGGCAAGCACGCAACGAAACAAACAATAAAACAATGGATAACAGAGCGCAAAACGAGCCGCAAAGGCACCACAAATCTCACGTACAAAAAAGCACAATAAAATCCGCCACAATACCACACAGCCTCGGACGAAGCCCAACACAACGGCCCGGGAAAATTACTTCACCTCACACAAAAAACCTTCACAAACTCGGTTGGCAGCGCTCTCACCCGTCGGCCGAGGATCTGGTTGATGGCAGCCGACTCCTTGAGCGTGCACTCCGCGACCACTTTGGCCCGCATCTCCTTCATGTACAGCATGAACGCGTTCAGCGGCTTCTTGATGTGACACTTCTTCTTTTCTGTTGTGCAAAAGGGAAGTGGGAAGTCACGAGGTTGTACCTCACGACTATTTTTTGTCGGTACGGCTTCTCGCAAGATGAAATAGAACGCCCGCTTCTAACCAGAAGTGGTATACATAATATGTGACGGCACAACAAAAATGTAATGACTACAAAACTGCTTCGGCTCGACAGGCGTGAATAAAAGCTGCTGGGGCGGAGGATACCGCTGCGAGCTAGCGCACGCTGGACGCAATAATTTCATCAGGGATCTGAGACCCAAAAAAAGGCAATCGCTACAAAACTGCCCCGGGTCGACAGGCGTGAATAAAAGTTGCTGTAGCGTAGGATACTGGTGCGAGCTCGCGCACGTTGTACGCGAGATTTTCATCATGAATCTGAGACGAAAAGACGTGATCTGACTGACGCGCATGGATCAGATGAGAAGCAAAGGGAGACGCATAGATGAATCGGATTCCTTCCAAGGAGAGCAAAAGCAAAAGCAGGTTATTGCTTTATCAGGAACAAAATGCGCAACTCTGCAGCTCTTAATCACCGCGGGCGCATAACCAGCGGGGCGACCAAAGATATACATTCTTCATGCGCCGACACGACCTTAGAGCCGCCGACACGCGGGGGTTCCGCATGAGGTCAGGGGTTCCGTGGGGCCGGTGACGTCAAATACGGAAGGGGAGGGGAGGGAACCCACCGGGCTCCTGGCAGTGCTGCTGAGAGGACTTGGAGCCTGAGACGGGGGGCGGGGCCGATATCACAGGCTTCACATCGGCGCTGTGCCTGAAACCGAATCAGGGGTCACATACAGGTCAAAACAGCTCGCCGGGGGGTCAGCGGCAGGTCACAAAAGCCTGTCAGGGATCGCGTACAGGTCACAGCAGCTTATCACAGATCGGGGACAGGTCACAGCAGCTTGTCAATCTGTTGAACTATCACCAAAAGCGGGGTCCATGGTCCCTTCACTCCCTTACCTTTCTGTGTTTCTGCTTCCATGACAAAATGACAAACAGTTCGCATGACAGACACCACGGCTTAATAATACTAGTCTCGTTTTTTATTAATCGTTCATGTGATACGTTATGAGTGTACCAAAGACCGCAATCCACGCCGCAAACCACACAACCAATAAACACACAATAAACCACAAATGACGCCAGTCCTTGGACCACTCCGTGTCAGCACACGAATTAAAAAAACACATTCGTTTGGACAACAGCGCTTTCATCACTGACCAATAGGAAAAGCCCGCAGAATGAGGAAGTCGCACTCGCGCAATGCGCAACTTAAAACCGGCGCAGTAAGCAGTTATTTCACACGTCTGAAACTCACTAAAAACAAAACCCAAATCCCGAAAAACAATAATAATAAGGAAAACAGCAAGTTACACCAACTTAGTCTAATTCAAATCATTAAATAAGCTTAGCTTACGATCCTACGCCGGGAGCGCGACGAGGCCGCCGCAGCGTTCGGGCGCCGGCCCCAGCGCCGCTCACCTGTGGTCTCCGTTGTGTTTCAGGTAGTCGGGGTGCAGCAGATGGGGAGGGAGGCCAGGGCGGCAGCAAACCAGGTGAAAACCTGCAGCACGCAGCACGACGACGGTCGGCACGAGGCACACGAGGGGGAGGGGGAGGGGGCGGGTGGGGACCAAACGAGTGCTGGCGTTCAGGCCGGGTTCGTGGGCCTTCGGATCAGTCAAGCAACCAGTCGATCCTTCAACCAACCCTTCCGCGCACCTTAAGCGATGCACATAGAATACTCGAAGCACGGCATCTATATGACAATGCTGTTAAATAAAGTATTATTTAATAATTAATATAATTACTTATATTCATAATATTTATCAACAATTTAATATAATTTCATAATGTTGTGTAATATCATTATCTTGATTTATCACTTAATGATTCAAATAATTCATATGTGGCAATGCTATTAAAAGATAGAATGTGTCCCACAGGCCTGAACGTACGTTTGAACGCGTTTAATGCGTTTCAGTAAGGCACCACACAACGTAGGACATCGGTCGACATAAATATTGTCGGGCGGTCCCGAGCACCCAGGCTGTTCTACCCCACAGACGGCTGAAGAAGCGGACCCAACACGCGCCAGCGGCCGATTGCTAACCGGCGGCAGCGGCCGGTTGCTAACCTGTGTAGACTGGCGGGTAGAGTGGAGTAGGGTGACCTGAACGCCCCAGACGTTGACGGGTAGAGGGCGGGTGCGTGCCTGCGAACACGCGAGCGCAGGTCAGCATGGGGAGCACACACGCTCCGGTCTTGTCAGCTACACGGGTACCTCCCCGGATGTTTACTGCGGCTTTGAAAATCCGCTTCTCATTCGTTTGTGCTGAAAGGCGCGTCGACAGCGAGGTTACTTTGGCGCTTCATATTCCAGCATATGAAGGGGATTGAACGACCGCCATCACGGAGAAACATGATCAAAACGCGCCCAGGTGAGGCAGCAAATCAGCAGGATCTATTCCGACGACATGTTCTAAACATAATGAAGCCCTCATTCCGCACACGTCAGTAAGCAACATCAATAGGCACGGGCCCAAAGGCAATGCGCCGTCCGTAAAACCCAGGCATGCAGAACAGCACTGAAACTGGACAGGACCGTCAGCCGCGACGAAAATGAAACGTGAGTCTCAAAGCGGACACTTAATCTTCAGCTTCGGCTTCTGTGACATCAGCGTTCTGACGCAAGATCTTCTGAGGACTGAAAAATTGAGCACACCCGTGCCACGTGTCCACGAGACTTAACACGCCGATGTCCAGTTCCCCCGGACGTTAATGGTGTCCGTGCGGGCTCCGAGATTATGCGACATAATCCAAGCCCCGCAACCTCGTCGGGCAACACGCCAGAGGTGAGTCCTGCCACACCAGAGATGAATCCTGCCACACCGACATCGGGGGCGGAAGCGCTCTACCACCTAACGCTACAGTGAGAGACGATGGCCAGGTCAGAGACGGAGAGATGGTGAGACAAGGGCGATATTCAGGCTCGCACGCAGGATTTTCATACGGATCACGAACTGGAGGACAGCCCCCCCCCCCCCCCCCCCTCCATTGGTGATGTTGGTGATGATCGTAGTTTTAGGGTTATTTCTTTCAGTCAGCGCACACAAAAACAAGCTTTTATACAACTGACAGGCTCTGCCCCTGCTCTGGTTTGGGAGGGAGGGGGTCCGAGGATCTGCCCCACGCCCCATCAACCAAATCCGTAACCCGGCCTTATGGCCCCCAGCCAATCTAATAGCAGGCCCCTGGGAGAAGGCGCCGCATTGGCTGGGGCAGAGGCAGAGGCTGGGTGTGTTCTATTCGGCTTCCTAACTTAGGCTTCAACCCCTGTTTCCATCTTTAGGATGAAAGTGACAAAATCCAGGCCGAAAAACCCGTTGGCTGGTTATTTTCCGGCAGCTTGAGGTTTTTTTTTTCATTGTTCAGCCCTTCTTCCAACCAAGTTGGCGAAATCACACCCCTGGGCACAGGCTCACGTGCCTTTCCTTTGTGATCAACTTTGAATGTATTCCAGGGAAAGTGTAAGCTATGCGAATTCGTTGTTCGGCACAAGAAGCGCACGCCGGGTGGCGTCCGCCGCCAAAAACATTTTCAAAACAACGCACATCCCCACGTCCATCAGCAATGCCTGCATTAGTGCAGCCAGCCTAAAATTTATCCCCCTCCCCAGCTACCATGGTTATTACAGCGTTTCTACCGAAATGCTCCCGGAAGTTTTATCAGATTGGCCCCAAAACACACTACGCTTCCAACACCAACCACAACAGCTCCCATCCCGTCCCCAGGCGCCAACACCGCCCGACAAGGCCGCGAACCCCAACTTCCATCGCCGCTCGCGAGATGGCGTCGGCATCGCCGTCCGCGGCCGATCTGCCGGCGATAAGACGGCGGCGGCGTCGGAGGCGCGACAAGGAACGTCCATCCGCTGACACGCCGGACGGCGCCGGCGCGCGCCTGCAGACGCGCCGGCCCGACCGGGGCCGACACGGGGCGGGGGGCGGACCCGGCGCTGGGGCCGGGCGCGCGCGGGTACGCTGGGGCGACGGACCGAGGTCGGCGGCGTGTACGCGGCGTGGGGATGCCGTGCACGGAGGGGTGACACGCATGGTGTTAGGACAACCGCCTCTTGCCGGACGAAATGATGTCGCTCTCATGATGTCGAACCAAAACTATATTGTCATTATGCTACCGAGCAAACCTGCGTCGTTATTTTGACACCGGATAAAAAAGCCCACAAATGCTGCCACGAGCGCTCCGCATCCATTTGGACGGCGAGTGTGCAGAAAACGGCCTTACATTCGATAGGCACAAAAACAGATGATACTGTACAGCCTAGCAACATGGCTGCCGAAATTTCTAGTCACGCTTCACTCCACGGCGCACCATCACCAAACCACTCCTCTATGAGTCTCGTCACCAATCAGGCGCACCAAACCAGTCTCACGCGTTCTCAGTCTCACGCGTTCTCAGTGCACCAAACCAGTCTCACGCGTTCTCGGTTTCACGCGTTCTCAGTGCACCAAACCAGTCCCTCGCGTTCTCAGTCCTCACGCGTCCTCAGTGCACCAAACCAGCTCATGAGTTCTCAGTCTCATGTGTTCTCAGTGGACCAAACCAGTCTCACGCGTTCTCAGTGCACCAAACCAGTCTCACGCGTTCAACATTAGATTCTGCCCACGACGCCGTCGCCGCCACGGAAACGTATGGTGATAGCTCTGTCGACACCTTACTGACGACCTCGCCACCGGCTGGACACCCGGCGCATGACGAGAGATTAGGGACGCCTAAATCTTCCCATAGCTCATTCCATGGTGCATTACTGGAAGCGTGGCGATCATGCATACGCTTATGGGGAATTCGCGCGAGCGCTGCAACATCTGTCGCCAGCGGCGGATGTAGGATACCCTGATAGGGGGGGGGGGGAGGGGAGATCATTGTCCTTTCTTTGTGTGCACCTTAAAAAGACGGCAGAAATTTGCTGGAAAACAAATGAAATCCATGCTAGTATTCTACTGGTTAAATGCAACCATGCAATGGTAGCTAAATGCTAGCAAACTAGCATTTTACTAACATTCGACCGAATTACATAGTGCTGCATTAACATTCACCAATAACATTGTTAACGCGACATTAACATCCTCCCCTGTTTCCAGGGCGACCCCTCCATGAGCACCACTGCCAACTCCACCACCTGCCGCGAGCTCTTGCGGCTCAGGCGCTACGCCACTCGGCGGACCCAAACAAAGCTCATCCCGTGCGTCGAGTCGGCAACGCATGATTCAGCCGGCCCCAATGAACTCCAAACGAACAATGATTCAACTCGCACCGAGCCGCCCGCCGCGCTAGATCAACATTTTCCCAACCGATCCGGAATGACAGCTACGAGCGGTCCGAGGCCTCCGAACAAAACAGCCGCCCTCAGGCGCGGCCGTGTTTGGACACCTGTGACGTCACAGTGGCGCAGACAGGCGCCCGGCGGGCGCTGGGCGCATCAGCATGACGCGTCCTCCCCCCGGCGCTGAATTGGACCCGCCCATCGGTGCCCCCCCCCCCCGCGGCTGTCGGTTGTCGGTGGCGGAGAGCTGGTCCCAGGCATGCAGCAATGGTGCCGAGTGACGCAGGTGATGCGAGACGATACGGTGATCAACTGTCACCCAGGCCTCCTCTATAACCCGGCCCACCGAACACTTATCCGCGGCCAGACGACGCGAAACACTGTCACCAGTTGGAAAGACTTCACTAACGAACGTGATCCCCGGGTCCCTGATGAGCCCTGTCATGTCCGCGTCTTAAACGCGTCCCTTATCCCCAGAAATATTCCGTCAAGTGACAGATCACATGCTCAAATTCCACGTTTTCTTTCTCAAAACACGACATCCGCACGCCTAAGCCGGGCAGCTGCCAGGACCCAAACAAGGCTGCCGAGCTCGGCGCTCATGGCAGCCGCAATCGAGACCTCGCATACGATGCGGTATTGCGACATCGATGCGATGCATGACAGCATCGTCGCATGTGACGATACGATGCAGCGTTCCTCACCACGATGCTCGTAATAACACCCGTGGCGCCGAGCATCACGAGCTTGTCGCAAATCCACACTAAAATATCACCGCGGGTCAGGCGCACTGCCGCCTCGGCCCACCGTAAACAGAACAGGCCGCGGCGGGAATCGAACCCGCGCCTGCGCACTTACCACGGTGGTAGGTCTGGCCCGCCGAGTGGCGGGTACGGGCAGTGTGACGACACCGGAGTGAACGGGTACACGGACGGCCGGGGCATCCCTGCGGGTCACAGCGAGGTCACGGGTCACACGAGTCGACGGTGGTGAGTCATCAAGGTCACGGGTCACACGAGTCGACGAGTCGACGGCGGTGGATCATCGAGGTCACAGGTCACACGAGTGTCGACAGCGGTGGGTCATCGAGATTACCGGTCACAGCCAGAACACGGGTCACACGAGTCGGCGGCGGTGCGTCATCGAGGTCATCGGTCACAGCCAGGTCACGGGTCACACGAGTCGACGGCGGTGGGACATGGAGATCAGACGACCCAGCATCCATGGAATATGAGATTCACATCAACGAGGCACTCATCTTCAAACACGCATGAGAAAAGGATGGGGTGCCGCAGGGGCCAGGTGGAAGACCAGCGGAGGGTGGCGAGGCAATACGACCACGACACTGGGGTCCCTGGTGAACAAACTGTCAGCATGGAGTCAACGATATCCGAGAAGAATATACCTTTCAGTTGAATGTACCCTTGTCGATATCTTTACATGAAATCTTAAAAGAACATTTTTGTTAGCCGCGCAATTATGCTTCCGAAATCAACGGCGCGTCAACACCATCACTAAATCAACATCGCCATCTCAACATTTCCACATTACGCCAACATCTCAGCATCACCACCTCCTTGACAGCGGAGGCCACACCCGAAAACCTCCGAAAACCTCCGAAAACCACCCGAACACCTTGAGCAGCCGAGTGCTTCGACCGAAAACCAACGCTCGGGCCGACCACACTTGCCGGTCGCGTCCCGAGGAAAGCGCCAGGAGAACACGGGCGACCACTCGCTGCCGAGCCGCCTATTCGACGCATTGAAGCAAAAATGCACGAAATTCTACGGGGCGTGTAGGAAGCATTTACGCACAGTGGCATTCATGTGGCGAGATGCCGCAGCCGCGGAGAGCATTCCCGGGGACGGAGCTCAGAAGCCGCCGCCTTCTAAACCAGGACAAATGAGAAACAACGCGGGTTGCGATCTAATCAACGCGCTGGTTGGGCCGGCACACATTTTTTCTGGCAAATAGCCAAAGAGGTGAGGCCAGAATCCACACGTCACGACAGCTGAGCGTGTGCAGACTTGGTGCACAAACACGATCTGACAGGGATTTGCATGTGCAATATGACGGATGACGACGGCCCAGCCGCGCTCGCCTGACAGCTTCATTGTGTGCAAATTGCGTTTCCTAATCGATCTGTACCTCAGAAAAAAAAAAATGCGGCGCAACATTGGGCGTGCGCATGCGTTTATGTAAGGAGTCAATGTTGCACCCGAACTGAGGCAGCAAAATCTCTGGATCTCTCTCCCTCTCTCTCTCTTGCCCTCGCTCCCCTCTTTTTCTATACGCATATATACATATATATGTCCAGGAATGTCAAAGATGTCTCCTACGCACAAAGTGGCTGTTTATACATTATGGGCACATCCCGTACCTAAAAATACTTCAAGAACGCAAACATTGTTACCAAGCAGGCAGTTGCATTACAGTGTAGTCGCCTCTCCCCAGGGTATCTTAAACAAGGCGCTCGCAAAACAAAATGCAAAATCCCGAGCTAAAAGTTCGTTCTCGAGCGAGTGTCAGCGAATTAAGCTCATTGTCAGCACACGCGAAGTGAAAAAATAAACCAATCGTCCGCATTCGAACACGACTTTTAATAACAGGAAAGCAAAACTCGTGCGTTTTGACAAAGCCAGAGTCGGAACTCCTTTCCCCGAATTCAGCCATTCGCGTCCAAACAGCGTGGCACGCGGCCGATCAAACCAATCTTCGGAGACCACTCCAACCATCGGCTTAGCGGAATGAACTTCCTGCTACGTCTCAGGTCCGGCGGGAGGGGCAACGGCGCATCCAGGAACCGCACAGGGGAGGCCACACGAGATCGCGTCCGAGACAGGCCACACTGACGCGCTGAAAGAGAAGCCCGGCGCGAATCACAGCGAGATGACGACCACCCTCCAGCGCGTTCGCTCCCCCGTGTCGCCTCCTGGACCCGCCCCTGCACAAAAAGGCTTGTAGGACAACATCCGGCGCCAGCTTTAAAGTCTGCGCCATTTAATCCCGATTCCAATCAGGGGTTTTCTTCCTCTGTATCGGATCAATCGGGTGCACCTCAGCGAGCACCAAGTGCGGAGATTGGATCCCGTCCCCCCCCCCCCCCCCCCCCCCTCCTCCCCTCCCGCTGACCAGCAGCCGGGAGGTGACCGGCAGGGCGGAAAAACACGCCGCGGACGAAAAAGCGTCGGGAAAAGGCCGATCGGACGCGGCCCGAGCGGCGACGCCGGCGAACTAGTGTGATCGAGAGCTCGGGGCCTGTGTCGGGATTACGGGTCGGATGCGCAGCACACACTACAGCGATCATCAGGACGGTAGAGACGCACGAGGGGTGGTTTTTGTGGTTGCAAGTGTTGCCAGGTGTTTGTCATGAGTTGCTGTGACTTTGGATCACTGTTTGCTGACTGGCGTCCACAACAACCCCGGGATTCGTTCACATTTGGCGCACAAAACCACTACTTAAGTCCACATACACTCAAAGTAACGCGCAGGCACGGGATGGCGAGAGATGAAACTAATCGCGTGGGGTTTAGGGCTGCGTAATGGATATATATATATATATATATATATATATATATATATATATATATATATATATATATATATATACATCCGCACTAACCAGATGGGTAAGGAGAGACAAAACATTAAGAAGATATTCACGACAGATAAAGCTGCTTGCCTGACCCCACAAGATTTTCGGAGGCACTCCATGAGCCCCACCCTGGCACCCCTCACCGAGCACGGTCCCAGTGTCAGTCTCTCCGGGCCCCCTGCGCCACCTGGGGGCCGGAGTCGGGGCCGGGGCCAGGGGAGAGGGGCGGGGGGCGCCGAAGATAACGATCCATCCGCCCCGTCGGCCGTCACAGGCGGCGGCGCCGCTAAAACAAAGCTCCCGGGAAACGCAGACGGGCGTGCACGAGCTGGCCGCCGGCTGCGGCCCCGCGTCAGATACAGAGGGCAGACGGACGCAACACGCTGCTGTACGTGGGGGGACGCGCACAGCAGTACGTGCAGACATACACGCAGACCAGAGCGGCGGAGCTAGTGGCGCGCTGATCAGAGCGGCGGAGCTAGTGGCGCGCTGATCAGAGCGGCGGAGCTAGTGGCCCGCTGATCAGAGCGGTGGAGCTAGTGGCCCGCTGATCAGAGCGGTGGAGCTAGTGGCCCGCTGATCAAAGCGGCGGAGCTAGTGAACCGCTAACCAGATATCCAATACTGATCACTGACCCTGCCCATGTCTTACCAACCCAGTCATGGTCTCATAACTGCCCTGCCTTCTACTCAGTCATGATGTCATCACTGACCTGGCCTCTGACTGATTCGACGGACCCGGCTGATGAATGCAACTTGTCCGTTTTGATTGGCATTCCAAACGACGACACGAGCCCACGCGTTCTGACAGCGCTCGAAAATCCCTCACTCACACCGTTCCGAAATACCCGAGCTCCACCACCAAATTCCCAGTTGGTCAGGACTGACCCCTGATGACCCAACCTGACCTGACCCGCCTCTCGCCCGCCGCTGACCTGGTTTGGGGTCCAGCTGGTACGGCGGAATGCCCATATGGGCCGGCGGGGGCTGCGACAGCGAGTCGCCGCCGTAGAAGAACGGCGGCAAACCCGGCGACGGCAGCGGCATCTTCCCCGCCTGAAAGCAGAGGTGACGACGGGTCAAAACACGGGTCAAGGTCACGGGGGTTGGTGGGCGTCTTTCTCGTCTGTGAGCACAGGTCAAACAGGGTCAAGGTCACAGGGGTCATCGGGCATCTCCCCCCCGCCTTGAGGTCACGGCTGGTCGGCGAACGGACAGGTCACGGTAGCAGGGGTCGGAGGGCACGGTGGGGGGTGGGGGGGGGGGGTCACGGGTGTCAGCGGACGTGGTGAGCGTGGCAACAGTTGGCGGCCATGCTTAAGTGCGTGGGAGGAGGAGGGTCAGGTAATGCTTCGATGTCTTGGATTCGATTCGATTCGATTCAATTCAATTCAGTTCACCTCCACAACACGCGTACCAGACACGAAACGCCCACTGGGGGCTTCGCGCTGGGGGGTAAAAAAGACACCATCACGAAGAAATGGATGGTGAGGACGCGCCAGCAAACTGGCAATACATGATAACTTCAGTATGCATTCCGTGTGTCCCCTGGTTTCATTTAACTATGGAACCAGCCGGTGTCCCAGTTATCGTGGCAAGATGTCACAGTTTGCACGCGACCAGCACATGGATCATGACAACGACAGCAGCCTGACAACATGATTTACGACTGAGGACCACACAGAACACGACAACGCCGTACGGATGAAGGGAGGGGAGGGGGGGGGGGGGCACGCAGGCCAGATAGTCATCTACCCCCAGCTCCACTTTAGGACATCATCATCCAAATTACAGGGCTCGCGGGTGGAGATGTTATCGCAAACTGCGCCATCTGCACCAGAGGAGATAAAACAATGGCGGCACGTGGCCAGTAAAAAGCGACAAAGGGCGGCACCCTTTCAATCCTCACAGGCTGCGTTGGCATAGCCGGCAAACGAGAGCGATTTTCGCAAACACAAAAACGTTTAAGTAACCCATTCGAGCCCCATTCAAAACGGACTTATTGAAGGACGTGACGCATGGTCACAGAAGGTCACCTAATAGCCCAAAGGTCACCTAACAGCCCAGTGCAAAAACTTCCGCATATCATTAGCATTAAGTGCGCTGTTTCGCACCCTGGCACGCCATTGGCACTTAACTCATCTTCCCGGCTCTTTGTAACGGCATAGTAGCTTTAAAGCCGGCACCCGTCCTTCCAATGTCCTCACGATGTTCTAGGCTGCACGTTCTAGCACGTTCTAGTTCTAGCACGACGCTAACGTCGCCAGACACCTGTGCTGTTCTGAGTTCTGCCCCGAGCTCAGCTTCTAGCGGGGGGGGGGACACCCCCCCCCCTACAAGACACGCGAAACGACTCGTCCCTGGCCAGCGGAGGTCATCACAGCACCGCCGGCGCCGAGGCCTTGCACACCGGAAGTGCGCCGCTTCCGGCCCGTGTTGCAATCGTCACCGGCACGTGTCATCGCTCTGACAGGTGAAACATCAAAGCTAAGTGCCGCTGACGACGTCAGGGAACCACGAGAGCCACCTTGGATGATGCCACGTAACGGACATGTGCGCATTGTACAAATTTGGGGCGCATATGATAACGCTGCACGCGTTTTAGTCACTTTTTATTTGCTGTGCGTTTTCGTGTGATCTTATCATCGGCATTGAAGTACCTAACGTCGCGGCCTGCATCGCATGCATCGTGTACAGTGTGGCTTTTGCCGAATTCCCCGTGCCTTAAGCTTCTCGCCGTCAAGACCGACACAGCCACAAACGCGGAGAATGCAACGCCAGATGAGGGAAGAGGAAGCTCCGAACGTCGCTACCAGACCAACTACTACTTAATACCAGCTACCTACTACCAACTACTACCTACTGCAACTACCCAGAACGTCCAGACGCTGAAAGGCCCCGCCTTCTCCACCGCCCGACCGTCCCGTTCCCGTCCGCTCTCTCGAACCATCCGTTCCCGTTCCTTTGGACCACCATCGAGCGTCCCGCCCCAGCCTACCGCGAGCAGACGCCTGGTCTCCCCAGACACCGGTCCCCGGAGACCGACTGGGGACCACCTCGGCACCGGTCGGGGGCCGGCCGGGCACCGCCGGCGGCCGCGCCGCGCTCCTCCGCCCCCGGAGGACGACGTGCACCACGAAAGCGCACGTGCACGCGGCCAACACGGGGCGGTGAGTCAGCCGGGGCATCAGTACGCTTCCCGGTAGGCTCAGTGGCTCTTTTACCGGGGCTCGCCACAGTCGCGGTCACCGGCGCCGACACTGCCGCACGCGGATAGAACCGGAGCCAGGGAATGTTGCCTAAACCGGGAATCTAACTCGGGCTATTTCCATACAGAGTGACGCTACGCCGCCGGCTTCCGCCTCCATCGGAGGCTTCTGATGCTGTGGGAGAAGCCCGGGTATGAAGGCGTGGCTCTGGGAGAGCAAGGCCTTCTGCTCGAAGACGACTGCATCCTCGTCGGCGCGCACGCCGCGGCGCCGACAGCCAACACCGGGCACGTCCTGCAACACTGGCGCCGCGTCTGCACTGACCGGTGCAGGGCATGCAAGATCAGGTTTCAGGCATGAAGATCAGGATCAGATTGGCCGGCAGATAAAGTGCTGACCTGCATTAAATGGGTCGAAGCCGATAAGAGAACGTTGCAGCCTGCTGCCTCCATCACCCTTCGCTCCAGTTCAGCTTCCAACAATGCGCTAGCCTTACTTTCCTATCAGTCAGCGTACTTTACGGTGACGTTATGGATGCGGTAAAGAAACGTCACGCATGCAGAAAAGACCGGTTCAAAGCTTTTTATGCAGAGTGTTGGCAGGCTTGGTTGCCTTTCCCCGCTCCCCCCCCCCCCCCCCTCTTGGTTGCCTTTCCCGGAGCCAGAGCAAGAACATGAACATGAACATGTCGAACATCCGGAACACGTCGAACCGTCCGCATGCTCTGTGCAGAGAAGTGTCCGGTGGATCGCGATTCACTCATAACCGTTCACCACCAGCCGGCCGTAATCACCGCGCAATGTAACTTCTCACTCACGCAACGGGCACACAGCAGCGGCTCTGCTGACACCCCACCGACGACGCCTCTACCCTTCACGGAAACCCCTCAGCCCCCCCCCCCCCCGAAACCCTCCCACCTAACCTCACCACCCACCCTCCACGGGTCATTCGGTACGCCGCGGGCGGAGCGGGGGCACGGGGGGAGGGAGGGAGGCGACCCACACCCGGCGCGGGCCTGCTTGCCATTCCCCGGGCGGCGCCGCCGCCCCCGGGAGCGATCATTGTCGGCCCATTTCCATACGCCGATTGAATACCAAAGTTGCCAGATTGAGTCGGAGCGTTGCCAGACGGGCCAGCGGCGGCGGCGCCGCGGAGGGCGGGTCTGACCACCTGTTGCCACGTGCCCAGGCGAGGCCGGGCCGCGGCGGAGGTGGAGAGCAGGACGACCGCCGACGCGGCTTGCTTGCTAGCTCCGCTCGGCGGTGAAGCTCGTGTTGGTGGATTCATCAGGGATCATTGACGGGGGGTTGAGTAAGTGGTGATGGGTGTTAAACGCACAGCTGCCTTCCCGCCAGCGCTGTGATCACTTCAGTTGAAGGAAATGCACAGAATACATACACACACATATATATATATATATATATATATATATATATATATATATATATATATATATATATATATATATATATATATATGTATATATATAATTAGTTAGCTGATTTAGTTAACTGAAATTATTTATTCCAGTTCACCCGAGTATGAATTATTCCAAGAACAAACGTCGTCCTTCCAGGATTCTGCAAGCTCAACACCAACAAAAATACCACAAACATGGCTTAATTACGACGTTCGAAAACTCTCCCAAGGAAAGCAAAACCGAGACAATGCTTTCGTTTCAGCTGCACCTTCGAAATCACGCCATTTCCCAGCTGGAAGCAATGTCCCGAAATACATTTCCTATTGCTGGGGAAACGCGATGGAAACCAGGCAAAAAAAACCCATTCCGACCAGGGCGACTGAAAATTCAGTTTCTGATGAAAACTCGATAGTAGAGCACACGGCCGGCCGGCACGCGCCAGCTGGCCCGATTAACGAGTCCGGCCGAGCCGTATGCAATGTCGGCAAGATCAAAGGGTGGCGCAGCGGAGTCGGGCAGAGCGTGTGCCGCTCTGCCAGTGCAGCGGGCGAGGCAGCGCACGGCGGGATCAAGATCCGCGGATCCGGCAGCTCCGCAGTCCCCACGTAGCGTTTGCTTCACCGGACTTTAAACTATGCCGGGAGGGCCAATATTTCCCGGCGCTGACTCAGTGCCGAACACTGCCGCCGCACGCATCGCCGCAACACCGAGCGGGTTCAGTACCGGCTGACGGTACCACCACACCGGTAGGTACGGTACCCCTGCTGCCTTCACATGCCCCCGCCGCACAATACGGGAGCTAGAGGAACTCCTCCCCAATCGGAGGTGCCTGGACAGTGGCGTATACAAATGGTGGCCCTCAGAGGGATCTCACCGTACGCAGCTGACACGCTCTTACGGCCCAATAATAATATAACAAATATAACAAAATAACAATACCCCTGCCCCCCCACTCTTTCATGCTGCTTGCACGCGTAATACGTGCGTGAACAAATGGTGACGAACAAAAACTCCCGACACACAGGTAATTCATTAAGAATGTGCTGACGTGCCTGCCACGCGCTAGCCTGGGTTTTTAGTGATTTGCTGGTCAGTTGCGCCTTTCTCGAATCCGGCACAAGTCCCTTCACTGGCGTGCAGGGCGGCTGGCACCTTACACCAGAGCGTCAGGCCGGAAAGTCCCAGCGAAGTGAGTCGTTCCAGGGAAGCTCCGCCGAGTAGCGGCACTGCCGACATCGGACGCAGGAGTGAAGATGCCCGACTGCCTCCGCCGGGCATCATTCTGCTTATTCAAGAACATCGGCACTTGCTTTCAACTTGTAATCGCTTGTTCCCCTCAAACAGGTCACCAGCAGCGTCAAACGCCTCAGCTGAGGAGCATCGTCAGTAAAGTTTGGAGGCGGCTTCCGAACCTTACGTGCATTCCTGG